TCAAGAACTTATGCACGAGTTGGCCTATGGCTTGGAAAAATCTGGGTTGCCTTTTGTTTGGGTGGTTAACAAACGGCCACTTGTTGAAGGGAAGATGGGTTCGGATCAAGTTCCGCTCGGGTTTGAAGATCGGGTTTCGGGTCAGGGCTTGATATGGATGGATTGGGCACCTCAACTAAGGATCTTGGCTCACTCATCGGTTGGTGGTTTCTTGACTCACAGCGGTTGGAGTTCAGTTATTGAGGCGCTTGGATTGGGGCGGCCACTGATCATGCTTACAGGGGGTTCGGATACGGGGTTGGTCGCAAGGATGATGCATGGGCGGGTAGGGTTAGAAATTGATAGAGATGAGGGAGATGGGTCATTTACAAGTGAGTCGGTGGCTACGTCCATTGGGCGAGTTTTAATTGAGACAGAGGGCGAGCCACTGAGGGCAAATGCATGGGCCATGAGAGAGATTTTTGGGAACATGGAGTTACGTACCAAATACTTGGAAGAGGTGGCTGGGTTCATTGAAAACGATAATACTCCAAGCCTCACTGTTTGACCGGTTGGTGTTATTACACATGGATATGGAAATTCAAATTAGTTGTGGTTTGTGAAGATAAAAATCTAAATCTTCTGTAATGATTTTTATTTTTGTTTATTAAATCAGAAATTTGAATGTGATATAAACTCCAAGTCATCTTTTTGAAACTGCATAAAATTGTTAAGTGAAGCAAAGACAATAAAATGTGAATCCATTGACTCTCTTTCTCCATCTTCTCACTAACTGTGTTATATAATTTTTTTAGCATATGAGTTACAATGTGACTAAAGGTGTTTTCACAGTAAAAATCTCTTTTTCAGTAAAACATAAATTTAGATGAAAAAAAAAATATATTTTATATTTCATTAAAGGATTTTAATACTTTTATGAAAGATGCCTAAAAACATAAAAATATATACAATAACACTAAGGCCGAATGACATCTTCCCACCCAAAGCTTGTCCTAAAGACAATTTATTACTTGAAAAGTTTCACACCAACATTCATCCACTTTCCGCGAAGATTTTTTAATGATGAATTAAAAAGAAGGTTTTATGAAAGTTTATACATAAAAGCAGATTCACGGGTTTTACGGTTTTACACACGGCACATCTCGGTCACCCGAGTCTCATGGGAGCGTCCGAATTTCGTGGGATAGGGAGAATGAAATGTGAGAATAGGCATTTAATTAAATGCTAGCATTATAACAGCGATAAGTAATGACATTTGCAAATTGGGATCGCAATTTTTAAGAAATTGTATTGAACATTTTCCTTTTCCACCCATCTCTTGCAGTTTTCTTTTTATTGTTTTTAATAATTTTGTCATTATCAATCATATCTAGAGTAAATGACATGTTCCCACCCAAGGTTTGGCCAAAATTCAAGGTTACCACCCTTGGTTTCATAAATCCCATATTTCCACCCTTAAATGAACACCGTGAGTGATTGTTGAGTGCTATTACCCTATTGTCCTTGACAAAACCCACCCATGGATTCATAAATTCCGACGGCCATTTTGGTTGCTTCCTCGCCAGAAGATCCACTAAACCTAGCATGAATCACTCCCCCAACACCGTTCGAACTCCCCCAGCTGCTCTTTGACCAAAATTTGGCCCAATTGCGCTGGATTTGCACCGTCACTAGTGACCTCCTCTGCCTTGCGATCGCCGTTTTCTGACCAAATTGGCTTGACTCTGATGTCTTTGGAATGCCCCGACGCCACCAAACACATCCCCTCACGTCTCTCATCAAAATCCCTATCATCTCTGCCCCTCTACACTACCAAATCGTCGGCCACTGCTCAGTGGAATCGCGTGCTTCTTGCTGATTTCCAGCCAATTCTAGCGACGAAAACCTACCCCGACACCACCTTTTGATCCACCAACATCCTCTCTCTAAAACCCCTACCACCCCAAGCTTTGATTGCCACGAGGCCCTCACATAGCAACCAAAATCTGGCCACCGTGAGGGCCAAGAAGTAGCCATTTGGCTACTACTTCTTAGCCCTTGCGATTGCTAGATTTTGGATGTCGCGCGAGGGCCTCGTGGCGGCTGGATTTTGAGGCGACAAAGCCCTCATGCGACAGCCAAATTCTGGCCACCGAGAGGGCCAAGAAACTGCTTTTTGGCCCACGCAAAGGCCAAGTCTGGCCACCATGAGAGAAATGTTAGAGAGATGGTGCTTGTGAGAGAAATTCAAGATATGGAGGGTCATTTTGAAATTTATATTTCAGATTTATTATGGTGTAAATGACCATTTTACCCTTTGTCCGTTAAATTAAACGTTTTTCAGTTAATTTAAGAGTGAGAATATGGAATTTATGAAACCATGGGTCGTAACTTGGGTTTTCACTAAACCTTGGGTGAGAACATGTCGTTTACTCATTATATCTATGATCCATCTATAAGTAAATCGATGGGTAAACACAGCGGAAAAACGAAAATTTTTTCATCGATTACTCTAAAAAACCCAAGATCAGGGTCTGATATGTATATATTTTATATGCTTAAATTGAAAAGAACAAATATAACATTAATCCAAACAAGGATCAGAAATCATACGCACGTTTGGAGACTCCTTCAAATATCTCTGAATGCGATTTCGGTATCGATCAAAGAGTAGAATCGAACTCACATCATCCACATGAAGACAGTACAACAGAGACCAAAGATTGATTTTGCTAGAATCAATCTTTGACTTTAAGGATTCAATGTTTGGAAGAAAGAGTGAAGAAAATGAAGAGAGAAAATATTTCTACCAAAATCACTCACGGCCAAGAATGAAGAAATCTTTTAAAACCTAACTTTTGCTTCCTTGATATAATAAAGCAAAGTATCAATTCCACCCCCAAAGCTTAGCAACAACCCAAACTTAGGTGGAATCGCATATAGGTCTTTTTTTAATTATTTAGTTAAATATTAATATTAACTTCAATAATTAAACTCGTAATTTTGCTAAATTATTCCAATAATAAAATTGGACACGGGCTACAACCTCAGTAAAATTAATTACACAGTAAAATTACCAATATGCTCTTTCATCCAAAAGACGAATATTCCCTTCCATAGTTAACCATCCTTAAACTGTCTCCTCAGTGTGTGACCCGTAGGCTCCTCATCATACCAGTAGTGAGTAGTATCGCAATTGACATCAATCAATCGTCTCACTACACACAGACCAAGATTGGCCCTTCGCAAGACATCATGGCCACCCAATAGATTCGGATTTAGCGAAATAGCTACCTGTCAACGATATAGTTACCGTGCAATCAAATCCTTTCATCATCTATTATCTCATCGAGACTGGAGTATAGAAATAGTGTCAACCTATATTATCCTCGATATATTTGTATTCAGTTACTAGACCAATGACCGAAATAATAAATTAGATTGAGCAACAACTCAATCCCACTGTGATCACAGATTTAGTGTCATTGTCATTAACTGAATTGCGCTGTGAGATAACTTCTCTCGTACCTGAGAATAATGAATTCTTTGTCGATCCACCATAGTCTTGATACACTCATTGCTGCCACCAATCACTACCGTATTGATAGCTCTAAATAGAACTACGTTAGGCTAGTGTCAAACTACACCAATCGGTGCACAAGACGTTCTAGTGATCTCAAGTCTAAGAATCACATGCACCACCATTCGTTAGAGGATTTGTTCCAGAGACACTAGGGTTACCATCTATATAGAATCCTCTGGTTGGTCAGTCCATGAAACTTGCTTGCAGCAAGCACCCATATGTTACACCAGGTTGTCGACAAACAACATTGATAAGTGAGATCAGTCACTGTGTTTCGATAAGGTCGTTTAACACTATGATAGTCTTACTGTATTATCTATATCCTTAGTCAAAATAATACTGGAGCTACAGACATTTCTAGAATAACCACCATATGTGATCATATGGTTCTTACTATGAAGATTTAGAATATTTGATACTCTCATTATGGTTTTACTATCCTAAAGATATATACCATTACATATAACTATGATTTATATGATATAATAGATAATGCATTTTTATTGATAAATAAATATTATTACAAATGATCAATTCCACCATACAAAATACATTAAGTGGATAGGCTTTTAATAATGGGTGCCCGAGGACATATTTCGCTGGATTATTTATGTCAGCTATCCATATTTAGAAAAAAGTATTCTGGCCTGCTTGAAATAGGCTATATAAATAATTATTTGACAGGTTTTTGGCAGAGCATTTAAATGGAAAGGGCGTTAAATATTCTAATAGAGTTTGACCTTCCAAATTGACTTGGAAGCAGGATCATTACACTGTACTGAGTTATATAATTGTAACTTGAAGATTAATACTGAATCTATAAACATTTCTAAAATGGTCATTATATATGATTACAGGGTTTTTACTATCAAAATTTAGAATACTTGATATCCTTATTATAATTCTATCATCCTAAAGACATACCATTATATATAACTATGATTTATATGATATAGTAGATAATATATTTTTATTGATTAATAAATATTATTACAAAGAGTGAATTCCACAATAATTGATTGGATCTAGAGTACATATTCTAACATCATCCAAAGCCTGCAATTCGTCCAGCCCTAAGGAACTCTCAACCCTGCTGGAACAAAATACATTAAGCTTTTAATAATGGCTGCCCCAGGACATATTTCGCTGGATTATTTATGTCAGCAATCCATATTTAGAAAAAAGTATTCTGGCCCTGCTAGAAATAGCTATACAAATAATTATTTGACAGATTTTTGGCAGAGCATTTAAATGGAAAGGGAGTTAAATATTCTAATAGAGTTTGACCTTCCAAATTGACTTGGAAGCAGGATCATTAGAATCTACTGAGTTATATAATTGTAACTTGAAGATTAAATTTATCTTTATACTTTCTCCAGACCAAACAGAGCTTCTCTTCGTGCCTGCTGGCTGTTGTTCCCGTTAGTTGTTAGAACAAATGGAGAAAATTATTTCTATGATTTTGTTGGCAATGGTTGTATTTGTTTTGAATGATGGAGTATATGGTACAGCTAATGATAGAGAAACTCTTTCTGAGATTGATAGGAGGTTGAAGCTTCTCAACAAACCTGCAGTGAAGAGTATTAAGGTATGCCATATTCTACCATCTAAAGAACTTTCATAAAAAACTTGATATCTCTAACGCAATGAAATGTTTATTTAGAGTGAAGATGGAGATATAATTGACTGTGTTGACATCTATAAACAACCTGCTTTCGATCATCCAGCTTTGAGGAACCACACTCTTCAGGTTCTTTCTTCATTACTCTCTTCTCTTGTTCGGACCTCTTTGTGAAAAGCATAGATAGAAAAAGATAGCACTAATTAAACATACATAAGAATCTCAAATATGTTTCACTCGGTAAAAAAAAACCCCGGAACATAATCTTTTCTCATCTTAGTTCATGTAATGTGCAGTTGACACCGAGTATTGATCTACCAACTGAGAAGGTGGATAAAATAAATGAATCTGGTTGGCCAGTGGTAATTCAAACTTGGCAGAAGAATGGAACTTGTCCAAAGGGAACTGTTCCCATTCGCAGTATCCGAAAGCAAGATTTATTGAGAGCAGCTTCTCTTGAGCATTTTGGAAGAAAAACCCCAGAAATTTCCTATACAGCAAATCGAAAAGAAGCAACTAATAATAGCAAATTTATAAATATAAACAACACCAAACTCGACACTCGTGATCTATCTATGGTTAACCGTTCGGTGAGCATCCTTTAAGCTGTTGTAGCTTTTCTATGTCCTTAACATAACTTTGCCAGAAAGTAAACAATAATATTTTGTTGTCTCACTTCCCCTAATTTACTCGATCGCATTTCCTAAACCAGGCTGCAGTTCTAGTTACAGTTGGATACAACTATTTAGGAGCTCAAGGAGATATTAACGTTTGGAATCCTAATGTTGATTTGGAAGACGATTATACTACTGCTCAAATTTGGCTTAAAGGTGGCCCTGGTGACCGTCTCGAAAGTGTCGAGTCAGGATGGATGGTTAGTACATTATTCAATTCGTACTTGAGAAATCCGATTTTTACAATTTCCCTTACTTATCACACTGTTTTCAGGTAAATCCCAAGCTATACGGTGATAAACGCACACGATTTTTCACATACTGGACTGTAAGTGTCATTGCGGCTTTGAACGAAATTTCAGAAACATATGTAACTTATCTTTGCTTATGTAATTGTTTTCATCTATTCTTAGGCTGACGGTTACGAGACAACAGGTTGTTTCGACCTCACTTGCACTGGGTTTGTGCAAACAGACTCCGAAGTAGCCCTTGGTGCGAGCATTGATCCCATATCCAGTAGGGGTGGTCCGCAGTATCAAATCACTATTGGCATAACCCTGGTAATTTATCTTTGTGGTCAGTGTGATTAATTTGAATCTATTAGTAAATATAAACTTGATGTTAATTTTTTCATTTCAGGATCCGAACTTAGGTAATTGGTGGTTAAAGTACAACAATAAAGTTGTTGGGTATTGGCCAGCAAATCTGTTCAGTCTCTTAAAGCATAATGCAATTTTAGTGGAATGGGGAGGACAAGTGTTTAGCCCGAGTGTGAAGAAAACTCCGCACACAAAAACTGCTATGGGAAGTGGAGAAATGGCAAATGCTCTTTTGGGTAATGCATGCTTTATCAAGAATGTAAGAATTATAGACAATTCTCTTCAACTGAAGTACCCTGAATGGGTAGCCACTTGGGGTGATGAATATTACTGCTACAATGTATTTAATGACGTCAAAGACTATAGAGATGGACCTATATTTTTCTTTGGAGGGCAGCCTGGAAGTAATCTATACTGTCTTTGAGGGTACAAATTGCAGTGAAACAGAATGTAATCGGTTAGTATATTTCAGTGATTGTCACAGCTCTTCAGCTGCTGCGATAAATAAATGAAATTGATGCGTCATTCGAATAATTCTATCTTTTACTCTCTACATGTAAAATACTTTAACTGCAAAGAGTTGATAGAGAATAATGAAGATTGACGAATAAAGGGCAAACGGAAAACTGATTGAGAATAGAAATTGATCGACAATTGGGGTGGGATGAGAGAGAAAGTAAATAGTACAGTCAAAATCTAACTTCTTTTTAACAGTTAAAAAGAAAAATAAAAAAGATTTTAATTTAATTGTCTGAACACATGGCCATGTATTAGTGGGCAGTCTTACCACATTGCATGATAAGGTGGTAAGCTTATCCCATATAAGTTTTTCCAAGAACTCGGAAGAAAAATAATTACAGCCGAAACTGTTAATAGAATAGTGGTTTACGCCAAAATCTCCATGCTCAAAGCCTTAAAACTGTACAGGCTCGCATTTATGGTTTACAACCGGCACATCTCGGTCACCCGAGTCTCATGGGAGCGTCCGAATTTCGTGGGATAGGGAGAATGAAATGTGAGAATAGGCATTTAATTAAATGCTAGCATTAACAGCGATAAGTAATGACATTTGCAATTGGGATCGCATTTTTAAGAATTGTATTGAACATTTTCCTTTTCTCACATCTCTTGCAGTTTTCTTTCTATTGTTTTTAATAATTTTGTCATTATCAATTATATCTAGATTAAACGACATGTTCCCACCAAGGTTTGCCAAAATTGAAGGTTACCACCCTTGGTTTCATAAATCCCATATTTCCACCCTTAAATGAACACCGTGGTGGATGTTGAGTGCTATTACCCTATTGTCCTTGACAAAACCCACCCATGGATTCATAAATTCCAACACCATTTGGTTGCTTCCTCGCCAGAAGATCCACTAAACCTAGCATGAATCACTCCCCCAACATCGTTTGAACTCCCCCAGCTGCTCTTTGACCAAATTTGGCCAATTGCACTGGATTTGCACTGCCACTAGTGACCTCCTCTGCCTTGCGATCACCGTTTTCTGACCAAATTGGCCAACTCTGATGTCTTTGGAATGCCCCGACACCACCAAACACACCCCTCACGCTCTCATCGAAATCCCTATCATCTCTGCCCCTCTACACTACCAAATCGTCGGCTGCTGCTAGTGGAATCGGTGCTTCTTGCTGATTTCCAGCCAATTCTAGCGACAAATACCCACCTCGACACCACCTTTTGATCCACCAACATCCCCTCTCTAAAACCCCCACACCCCAAGCTTTGATTGCCACGAGGCCCTCACGTAGCAGCCAAAATCTGGCCACCGTGAGGCCAAGAAGTAGCCATTTGGCTACTGCTTCTTGGCCCTTGTGTTGGCTAGATTTTGGATGTCGCGCGAGGGCCTCAGGCGGCTGGTTTTGAGGCCACAAAGCCCTCATGCGACGGCCAAATTCTGGCCACGAGAGGGCCAAGAACACCATTGTGCGCTTTTTGGCCCACGCAAAGGCCAAGTCTGGGCCATGAAAGAAATGTTAGAGAGTGGTGCTTGTGAGAGAAATTCAAGATATGGAGGGTCATTTGAAATTGTTATATTCAGACTTATTATGGATAATGACCATTTTACCCTTATCCGTTAAATTAAACGTTTTTCAGTTAATTTAAGAGTGAGAATATGGAATTTATGAAACCAGGGTGGTAACTTGGGTTTTCGCTAAACCTTGGGTGAGAACATGTCGTTTACTCATTATATCTATGATCATCTATAAGTAAATCGATGGGTAAACACAACGGAAAAACGAAATTTTTTTTCATCGATTACTCTAAAAACCCAAGATCAGGGTCTGATATGTATTATTTTATATGCTTAAATTGAAAGAACAATATGACATTAATCCAAACAAGGATCAGAAATCACACGCACTTTGGAGAAACCTTCAAATATCTCTGAATGCGATTTCGCTATCGATCAAAGAGTAGAATCGAACTACATCGTCCACATGAAGACAGTACAACAGAGACCAAAATGATTTTGCTAGAATCAATCTTGGCTTTAAGGATTCAATGTTTGGAAGAAAGAGTGAAGAAAATGAAGAGAGAAAATATTTCTCTCAAAATCACTCACGGCCAAGAATGAAGTAATCTTTTAAACCTAACTTTTGCTTCCTTGATATAAAAAGCAAAATATCAACCCAAACTTAGGTGGAATCGCATATAAGTCTCTGTTTAATTATTTAGTTAAATATAATATTAACTTCAATAATTAAACTGTAATTTTGCTAAATTATTCCAATAATAAATTGGACACGGGCTATAACCTAAGTAAAATTAATTACACAGTAAAATTGACAATATGCTATTTCATCCAAAAGATGAATACCCTTCCATAGTTAACCATCCTTAAACTGTCTCCTTAGTGTGTGACCCGTAGGCTCCTCATCATACCAGTAGTGAGTAGTATCGCGATTGACATCAATCAATCGTCTCACTACACATAGACCAAGATTGACCTAGTAAGATATCATGCCGATAGATTCAAATTCAGCGAAATAGCTACCTGTCAAGATATGGTTACCGTGCAATCAAATCTTTTCATCATCTGTTATCTCATGAGACTGTGGTATAGAAATAGTGTCAACCTATTTATCCTTGATATATTTGTTTCAGTTACTAGACCAATGACCGAATAATAAATTAGATTCAGCAACAACTCAATCCCACTGTGATCACAGATTTAGTGTCATTGTCATTAACTGAATTGCACTGTGAGATAATTCTCTCGTACCTGGGAATGATGAATCATTGTCGATCCACCATAGTCTTGATACACTCTTGCTACAACCAATCACTACCGTATTGATAGCTCTAAATAGAACTACGTTAAGCTAGTATCAAACTATACCAATCGGTGCACAAGACGTTCGTGATCTCAAGTCTAAGGATCACATGCACTACCATTCGTTAGAGGATTTGTTCCACAGACACTGGGATTATCATCTATATGAAATCATTAAGTGGATAAGCTTTAATAATGAGTGCCCGAGGACATATTTGGCTGGATTATTTATGTCAGCTATTCATATTAGAAAAAAGTATTTGGCCCTGCTTGAAATAGGCTATATAAATAATTATTTGACAGGATTTTGGGCAGGCATTAAATGGAAAGGGAGTTAAATATTCTAATAGAGTTTGACCTTCCAAATTGACTTGGAAGCAGGATCATTACACTGTACTGAGTTATACAACTGTAACTTGAAGATTAATACTGGGCTGCAAATATTTCTAAAATGATCATCATATGTGTTATAGAATTTTCTATCAATATTTAGAATACTTGATACCCTCATTACAGTTCTATTATCTTAAAGAATATACCATTATATAACTATGATTTACATGATATAATAAATAAGTTTTTCTTATTAATAAATATTATTACAAAGAGTCAATTCACGATAATTAATTACCTACACCAACACCATCCAAGCCTGCAATTCGTCCAGCCCTAAGGAACCCTCAACCCTGGAACAAAATACATTAAGCTTTTAAATGGCTGCCCGAGGACATATTTCGCTGGATTATTTATGCAGCTATCCATATTTAGAAAAAAGTTCTGGCCCGCTTTGAAATAGCTATACAAATAATTATTTGACAGGTTTGGCAGAGCATTAAATGGAAAGGGAGTTAAATATTCTAATAGAGTTTGACCTTCCAAATTGACTTGGAAGCAGGATCATTAGACTCTACTGAGTTATAATAATGTAACTTGAAGATAAATACCGAGTACAATCTATCATCCAAAAATAAGACTGAAAATTGATGGTTGAGTTTCATATGGAATAAATTTCAAAAACTCATAAGTTTATCATTAAATGTTTAAATTTTTTTATTGATTATATATTTGCTCATTGGGAAATTGGAACACAGTTAACTGGAACATGGGGGGTCTGATGTCGGAGGCTGGGAAAAGGGCGGCTAATGCGGTTGTGGAGGTGTTATTAACAGGAAAAAATGGACGCTGAAGCAGTGTTGGAGGTTGTGATAGACTGATAGTGACGTAGGCGATGTAGAGGAAGACGTGGTGATAGTGACTAATGGCATGAGTTAGGATAGAATTCTTGGAAAAAGGTTTTCTCCTAACTAGTTAGTATAATATTTTCAATATACTTGACAGATGTTAATGAATAATTGGTTAGAATAGATTTTCTCTGTATAAAAAAAGAAAAAAAAAACTCATATTTTGGTTTCTGTTTCACAAATCCCAATCACTCTTACTACCATTCAACAACATCAGCGGCCATGGACGACAAAGTAAAGCTTCACATTGCATTGTTCCCATGGTTAGCTTACGGTCACATTATGCCATTTTTTCAGGTGGCTAAGTTCTTAGGTGAAAAGGGTTATCATGTCTACTTCATCTCCACCCCAAACAACATTAATCGTCTCCCTCAGATCCCTAATAACTTATCTTCCCATCTAAACTTTGTTCAACTTCCTTTGCCTCACGTTCAAGGCTTACCACAAGGAGTTGAGTCCACCGCAGATTTACCCATTCAAAAAGTCCCTTATCTCAAACAAGCTCACGACTTGCTCCAGTTCCCTTTAATAAACTTCCTCAAATATTCACAAGTCACTTGGATCATTCAAGACTTTGCCTCCTACTGGTTACCCAGTGCCGCCGCTCAACTAGGTATCAAGACAGTTTTCTTCAGCATATTCAGCGCTACCACCTGCTGTTTTTTCGGCCCACCCTCAGATTTAATCGATGGTCACCGTCAGAAACCCGAGGACTTCACGGTAGTCCCCCAGTGGATAAACTTTGATTCTAATATCAAGTTCAAGCTCCACGAGGCGACGGGTCACCAGGAGTGCATGGACTCGGTGTCTGACTTTTACCGTCTTGGAACGGTGCTTAAAGATTGCGGAGCCCTGATTGTGAGGAGCTGCCCTGAGTTTGAGCCTGAAGCTTTTACTGTATACAGAAAACTTTTAGAAAAACCAGTACTTCCGGTCAGCTTATTACCACCATCACTGCAAGCTTATACCGTGACGGATGGAAAATGGCAAGTGTTAAAAGACTGGCTTGACAATAAGGAGGAGAGATCTGTGGTTTATGTTGCACTCGGTACTGAGTTGACTCTGAGTCAAGAACTTATGCACGAGTTGGCTTATGGCTTAGAAAAATCTGGGTTGCCTTTTATTTGGGTGGTTAAAAAACGGCCACTTGTTGAAGGGAAGATGGGTTCGGATCAAGTTCCGCTCGGGTTTGAAGGTCGGGTTTCGGGTCAGGGCTTGATATGGATGGATTGGGCACCTCAACTAAGGATCTTGGCTCACTCATCGGTTGGTGGTTTCTTGACTCACAGCGGTTGGAGTTCAGTTATTGAGGCGCTTGGATTGGGGCGGCCACTGATCATGCTTACAGGGGGTTCGGATACGGGGTTGGTCGCAAGGATGATGCATGGGCGGGTAGGGTTAGAAATTGATAGAGATGAGGGAGATGGGTCATTTACAAGTGAGTCGGTGGCTACGTCCATTGGGCGAGTTTTAATTGAGACAGAGGGCGAGCCACTGAGGGCAAATGCATGGGCCATGAGAGAGATTTTTGGGAACATGGAGTTACGTACCAAATACTTGGAAGAGGTGGCTGGGTTCATTGAAAACGATAATACTCCAAGCCTCACTGTTTGACCGGTTGGTGTTATTACACATGGATATGGAAATTCAAATTAGTTGTGGTTTGTGAAGATAAAAATCTAAATCTTCTGTAATGATTTTTATTTTTGTTTATTAAATCAGAAATTTGAATGTGATATAAACTCCAAGTCATCTTTTTGAAACTGCATAAAATTGTTAAGTGAAGCAAAGACAATAAAATGTGAATCCATTGACTCTCTTTCTCCATCTTCTCACTAACTGTGTTATATAATTTTTTTAGCATATGAGTTACAATGTGACTAAAGGTGTTTTCACAGTAAAAATCTCTTTTTCAGTAAAACATAAATTTAGATGAAAAAAAAAATATATTTTATATTTCATTAAAGGATTTTGATACTTTTATGAAAGATGCCTAAAAACATAAAAATATATACAATAACACTAAGGCCGAATGACATCTTCCCACCCAAAGCTTGTCCTAAAGACAATTTATTACTTGAAAAGTTTCACACCAACATTCATCCACTTTCCGCGAAGATTTTTTAATGATGAATTAAAAAGAAGGTTTTATGAAAGTTTATACATAAAAGCATATTCACGGGTTTTATGGTTTTACACACGGCACATCTCGGTCACCCGAGTCTCATGGGAGCGTCCGAATTTCGTGGGATAGGGAGAATGAAATGTGAGAATAGGCATTTAATTAAATGCTAGCATTATAACAGCGATAAGTAATGACATTTGCAAATTGGGATCGCAATTTTTAAGAAATTGTATTGAACATTTTCCTTTTCTACACTCTCTTGCAGTTTTCTTTCTATTGTTTTTAATAATTTTGTCATTATCAATTATATCTAGATTAAACGACATGTTCCCACCCAAGGTTTAGCCAAAATTGAAGGTTACCACCCTTGGTTTCATAAATCCCATATTTCCACCCTTAAATGAACACCGTGGGTGAATGTTGAGTGCTATTACCCTATTGTCCTTGACAAAACCCACCCATGGATTCATAAATTCCAACAACCATTTTGGTTGCTTCCTCGCCAGAAGATCCACTAAACCTAGCATGAATCACTCCCCCAACATCGTTTGAACTCCCCCAGCTGCTCTTTGACCAAAATTTGGCCCAATTGCACTGGATTTGCACTGCCACTAGTGACCTCCTCTGCCTTGCGATCACCGTTTTCTGACCAAATTGGCCTAACTCTGATGTCTTTGGAATGCCCCGACACCACCAAACACATCCCCTCACGTCTCTCATCGAAATCCCTATCATCTCTGCCCCTCTACACTACCAAATCGTCGGCTGCTGCTTAGTGGAATCGCGTGCTTCTTGCTGATTTCCAGCCAATTCTAGCGACAAATACCCACCTCGACACCACCTTTTGATCCACCAACATCCCCTCTCTAAAACCCCCACCACCCCAAGCTTTGATTGCCACGAGGCCCTCACGTAGCAGCCAAAATCTGGCCACCGTGAGGACCAAGAAGTAGCCATTTGGCTACTGCTTCTTGGCCCTTGTGGTGGCTAGATTTTGGATGTCGCGCGAGGGCCTCATGGCGGCTGGATTTTGAGGCCACAAAGCCCTCATGCGACGGCCAAATTCTGGCCACCGAGAGGGCCAAGAAACAGCCATTTGGCTGCTGCTTTTTGGCCCACGCAAAGGCCAAGTCTGGCCGCCATGAAAGAAATGTTAGAGAGATGGTGCTTGTGAGAGAAATTCAAGATATGGAGGGTCATTTTGAAATTTGTATTTCAGACTTATTATGGTATAAATGACCATTTTACCCTTTATCCGTTAAATTAAACGTTTTTCAGTTAATTTAAGAGTGAGAATATGGAATTTATGAAACCATGGGTGGTAACTTGGGTTTTCGCTAAACCTTGGGTGAGAACATGTCGTTTACTCATTATATCTATGATCCATCTATAAGTAAATCGATGGGTAAACACAACGGAAAAACGAAATTTTTTTTCATCGATTACTCTAAAAAACCCAAGATCAGGGTCTGATATGTATATATTTTATATGCTTAAATTGAAAAGAACAAATATGACATTAATCCAAACAAGGATCAGAAATCACACGCACATTTGGAGAAACCTTCAAATATCTCTGAATGCGATTTCGCTATCGATCAAAGAGTAGAATCGAACTCACATCGTCCACATGAAGACAGTACAACAGAGACCAAAAATTGATTTTGCTAGAATCAATCTTTGGCTTTAAGGATTCAATGTTTGGAAGAAAGAGTGAAGAAAATGAAGAGAGAAAATATTTCTCTCAAAATCACTCACGGCCAAGAATGAAGTAATCTTTTAAAACCTAACTTTTGCTTCCTTGATATAAAAAGCAAAATATCAACCCAAACTTAGGTGGAATCGCATATAAGTCTCTGTTTAATTATTTAGTTAAATATTAATATTAACTTCAATAATTAAACTTGTAATTTTGCTAAATTATTCCAATAATAAAATTGGACACGGGCTATAACCTAAGTAAAATTAATTACACAGTAAAATTGACAATATGCTATTTCATCCAAAAGATGAATATACCCTTCCATAGTTAACCATCCTTAAACTGTCTCCTTAGTGTGTGACCCGTAGGCTCCTCATCATACCAGTAGTGAGTAGTATCGCGATTGACATCAATCAATCGTCTCACTACACATAGACCAAGATTGACCCCTAGTAAGATATCATGACCACCCGATAGATTCAAATTCAGCGAAATAGCTACCTGTCAAAGATATGGTTACCGTGCAATCAAATCTTTTCATCATCTGTTATCTCATTGAGACTGTGGTATAGAAATAGTGTCAACCTATATTATCCTTGATATATTTGTATTCAGTTACTAGACCAATGACCGGAATAATAAATTAGATTCAGCAACAACTCAATCCCACTGTGATCACAGATTTAGTGTCATTGTCATTAACTGAATTGCACTGTGAGATAAATTCTCTCGTACCTGGGAATGATGAATCATTTGTCGATCCACCATAGTCTTGATACACTCCTTGCTACAACCAATCACTACCGTATTGATAGCTCTAAATAGAACTACGTTAAGCTAGTATCAAACTATACCAATCGGTGCACAAGACGTTCTGGTGATCTCAAGTCTAAGGATCACATGCACTACCATTCGTTAGAGGATTTGTTCCACAGACACTGGGATTATCATCTATATGAAATACATTAAGTGGATAAGCTTTTAATAATGAGTGCCCGAGGACATATTTGGCTGGATTATTTATGTCAGCTATTCATATTTAGAAAAAAAGTATTCTGGCCCTGCTTGAAATAGGCTATATAAATAATTATTTGACAGGATTTTGGCAGAGCATTTAAATGGAAAGGGAGTTAAATATTCTAATAGAGTTTGACCTTCCAAATTGACTTGGAAGCAGGATCATTACACTGTACTGAGTTATACAACTGTAACTTGAAGATTAATACTGGGCTGCAAATATTTCTAAAATGATCATCATATGTGATTATAGAATTTTCATTATCAATATTTAGAATACTTGATACCCTCATTACAGTTCTATTATCTTAAAGACATATACCATTATATAACTATGATTTACATGATATAATAAATAAGTTTTTCTTTATTAATAAATATTATTACAAAGAGTCAATTCCACGATAATTAATTACCTACACCAACACCATCCAAAGCCTGCAATTCGTCCAGCCCTAAGGAACCCTCAACCCTGCTGGAACAAAATACATTAAGCTTTTAATAATGGCTGCCCGAGGACATATTTCGCTGGATTATTTATGTCAGCTATCCATATTTAGAAAAAAGTATTCTGGCCCTGCTTGAAATAGCTATACAAATAATTATTTGACAGGTTTTTGGCAGAGCATTTAAATGGAAAGGGAGTTAAATATTCTAATAGAGTTTGACCTTCCAAATTGACTTGGAAGCAGGATCATTAGACTCTACTGAGTTATATAATTGTAACTTGAAGATTAAATTTATCTTTATACTTTCTCCAGACCAAACAGAGCTTCTCTTTGTGGTGCTGGCTGTTTTTCCCGTTAGTTGTTAGAACAAATGGAGAAAATTATTTCTATGATTTTGTTGGCAATGGTTGTATTTGTTTTGAATGATGGAGTATATGGTACAGCCAATGATAGAGAAACTCTTTCTGAGATTGATAGGAGGTTGAAGCTTCTCAACAAACCTGCAGTGAAGAGTATTAAGGTATGCCATATTCTACCATCTAAAGAACTTTCATAAAAAACTTGATATCTCTAACGCAATGAAATGTTTATTTAGAGTGAAGATGGAGATATAATTGACTGTGTTGACATCTATAAACAACCTGCTTTCGATCATCCAGCTTTGAGGAACCACACTCTTCAGGTTCTTTCTTCATTACTCTCTTCTCTTGTTCGGACCTCTTTGTGAAAAGCATAGATAGAAAAAGATAGCACTAATTAAACATACATAAGAATCTCAAATATGTTTCACTCGGTAAAAAAAAACCCCGGAACATAATCTTTTCTCATCTTAGTTCATGTAATGTGCAGTTGACACCGAGTATTGATCTACCAACTGAGAAGGTGGATAAAATAAATGAATCTGGTTGGCCAGTGGTAATTCAAACTTGGCAGAAGAATGGAACTTGTCCAAAGGGAACTGTTCCCATTCGCAGTATCCGAAAGCAAGATTTATTGAGAGCAGCTTCTCTTGAGCATTTTGGAAGAAAAACCCCAGAAATTTCCTATACAGCAAATCGAAAAGAAGCAACTAATAATAGCAAATTTATAAATATAAACAACACCAAACTCGACACTCGTGATCTATCTATGGTTAACCGTTCGGTGAGCATCCTTTAAGCTGTTGTAGCTTTTCTATGTCCTTAACATAACTTTGCCAGAAAGTAAACAATAATATTTTGTTGTCTCACTTCCCCTAATTTACTCGATCGCATTTCCTAAACCAGGCTGCAGTTCTAGTTACAGTTGGATACAACTATTTAGGAGCTCAAGGAGATATTAACGTTTGGAATCCTAATGTTGATTTGGAAGACGATTATACTACTGCTCAAATTTGGCTTAAAGGTGGCCCTGGTGACCGTCTCGAAAGTGTCGAGTCAGGATGGATGGTTAGTACATTATTCAATTCGTACTTGAGAAATCCGATTTTTACAATTTCCCTTACTTATCACACTGTTTTCAGGTAAATCCCAAGCTATACGGTGATAAACGCACACGATTTTTCACATACTGGACTGTAAGTGTCATTGCGGCTTTGAACGAAATTTCAGAAACATATGTAACTTATCTTTGCTTATGCAATTGTTTTCATCTATCCTTAGGCTGACGGTTATGACACAACTGGTTGCTTCGACCTCACTTGCACTGGGTTTGTGCAAACAGACTCCGAAGTAGCCCTTGGTGCGAGCATTGATCCTATATCCAGTAAGGGCGGTCCGCAGTATCAAATCACTATTGGCATAACCCTGGTAATTTATCTTTGTGGTCAGTTTGATTAATTTGAATCTATTAGTAAATATAAACTTGATGTTAATTTTTTCATTTCAGGATCCGAACTTAGGTAATTGGTGGTTAAAGTACAACAATAAAGTTGTTGGGTATTGGCCAGCAAATCTGTTCAGTCTCTTAAAGCATAATGCAATTTTAGTGGAATGGGGAGGACAAGTGTTTAGCCCGAGTGTGAAGAAAACTCCGCACACAAAAACTGCTATGGGAAGTGGAGAAATGGCAAATGCTCTTTTGGGTAATGCATGCTTTATCAAGAATGTAAGAATTATAGACAATTCTCTTCAACTGAAGTACCCTGAATGGGTAGCCACTTGGGGTGATGAATATTACTGCTACAATGTATTTAATGACGTCAAAGACTATAGAGATGGACCTATATTTTTCTTTGGAGGGCAGCCTGGAAGTAATCTATACTGTCTTTGAGGGTACAAATTGCAGCGAAACAGAATGCAATCGGTTAGTATATTTCAGTGATTGTCACAGCTCTTCAGCTGCTGCGATAAATAAATGAAATTGATGCGTCATTCGAATAATTCTATCTTTTACTCTCTACGTGTAAAATACTTTAACTGCAAAGAGTTGATAGAGAATAATGAAGATTGACAAATAAAGGGCAAACGGAAAACTGATTGAGAATAGAAATTGATCGGCAACTGGGGTGGGATGAGAGAGAAAGTAAATAGTACAGTCAAAATCTAACTTCTTTTTAACAGTTAAAAAGAAAAATAAAAAAGATTTTAATTTAATTGTCTGAACACATGGCCATGTATTAGTGGGCAGTCTTACCACATAGCATGATAAGGTAGTAAGCTTATCCCATATAAGTTTTTCCAAGAACTCGGAAGAAAAATAATTACAGCCGAAACTGTTAATAGAATAGTGGTTTACGCCAAAATCTCCATGCTCAAAGCCTTAAAACTGTACAGGCTCCGAGTACATCTAGGAGTTAACAAGAGGCATAATTGAGTTACACAGATAAGAAACCGTACACGAAGGTGAAGGGTGTTGGAAAACTGCAGAGTTGACCTGATGATCAAGAATGTTTACTCTTTTTTATTAGTTCTTGAATTCAACCTTTGAGGTCATTTATCATAATAATATTATGGTTTATCTAATCCTTTGGGTTTATAGAATGTTCAATAAACTCTGAAGATTAGTTAAGGTATGTTTAAGCTATCTCAGAGTACTCCGATTACAAAAAAAAAAGTACTGGATAACTGTATGTTCGATTTCGAGGTCTGATGACTTTGATTCACAGTTATTGAGCAAATTATATTAATATTAGGTTTTTCACTTACAAAATGTGTTGAGTTAGCCACAACATGTCATCACCAAGAAGTCTTTTTTCATAAAGTTTTAAATAGATATGATTTTTTTTTTTTTTTGGGTGACTTAGGATGTTCAGGTCAATTTATGGGCACCTGTACTAATTCTCTGTGGCCTTAAAATTGACAACTGAATAAATTCAGTAAGTGGTCACCCTTATTAACAACCTATGTGGAATTGTGGATCGAACTCATAACCTCTTGAATAATACATCCAAGAGTCTTGGTTGACCGTTGAGCTACCAGTGATGGTTTTTATATAGATATGTTTCCATACTTCTAAAAATTTTCAAATTTATATTTTATACAAGGTGAGCTTTCAAATTTGAATATACAAAAAATATAATCCAAGATTTCAAATTCGATCATATTTTAAAAACCATTTAAGAATTCGAAAAGACCCATATCACAGAAATAGCCATTTGTAAAAACAAGGACACTTCACATATCAGAAATTATCGATCATCATATTACATTAACTCTGTTTCCATTTTATTTTACATAATACTGCCCCAACCCAAAGCCACCATTTAGCCAATTGCATATGATGCGGATACAGTCATGCAACATCAAATGGCATTAATATTCTTTAAAGAACAAACACTAATGAACTAAATACAACAGAAAAGATATTTTAGAAGTATTCTTTTTTTTTTTTTAAAAGGTTTAATTTCTAATGACTAAACTATTTGCACCCATCATCTTTTTTCTTTTGTTTTGACTAATGAATTAATCTTTTACTAAACAAATACGATGTTGCTTGTATTACTGAATTAATTTTTTAATCATTTTTATTGCTTGAAAAGATAATCACAATTTCAAATTATAATTTGCCTTTTAATAATCAGAAGATTGGGCCTTCACTGCGGAGCCCAAAGGCCGAAACTAGTACAGGTCAATGCCACCATTTTTTGGTCAACTCCGTGGTCCCTGCAACTTCCGAGCCACAATAACTCTCAATCAGAAGTCAACAAGTTTAATTGAAACCACCAAAATGAGCCTCTCCATTGATGGTGTTGGAGGTGCTTCGGCAGAGATGAAGTCAGTGGCGGTTGCCGTGAACGTTGGAGAAGGAAGTGGAGGAGGCAATGGAAGTCGACGTGCCGTGCGGTGGGCCGTGGAGAATCTCATGAACAAAGCTGATCGTTTTATCTTAGTCCACGTTATGCCCCCCATCACTTCGATTCCAACTCCGTGTAATTATCTAGAACATGCAATATTTTAATGAGCTTTTGGTTTGGACGTTGAATTGAATTTGTTTTGTGGTGCTGTTAAATCAATCTGTGTGATCACACTAGAGTAAATTCTTTTAAAGTAATGAAACTCAATATAGAGTTGAAACTGATGATTTTGTTTGATTTCTGAGATTTCTTAAGAGATTCTTAAGAGAAGAAAGAAGCGTCATATTACAATACTTATACTTTGCCCGTTTTATATATAAAAATATTATCAATTTGTTACAATATCAGACGTATAATATTGAATTCAAGAGTTGTAAAGCTTTTTAGCTATAACATTAAACCTCCGAATTGTATGTTACATGTTTCAAGTGTAACATTAAACCTCTAAATTTTGTAAAGTTTTGTAGCCATATCCAAGAAAATTAATGCCAAAGCTTAAGCAAAACCCTTCACTAGAAATTGTTTATTTAAGTAAAAGCTGTTTCCAAGGCTGGTAAATTGATTGTGGATACATATTCTACAGCAGGAGAATGTATACCGGTAGCTGAGCTGGATGAGAATGTGGTGAAAGTGTATGTGCAGGATGTCAAATTAAAGACGGAGGAAATCTTTATTCCATATAAAAAACTATGCAAGACAAGGAAGGTAAGTTTGAGCTTCTTTGGTGCTTTAACCTAGGTTGATTTCTACTGAATTCTGAGTGTGAGAATTTGAATTTGTGCTGAATCTTTTGCAGGTAGAAACGTTGGTCTTGGAGGATGATAATCCGGCGTCTGCACTTCTAAGATATGTATCTGCGGCTAGGATTAATAACTTAGTTTTAGGTTCTTGCTATACAAATTGTATAGTGAGGTAAGTTTTCATCTTTTTAGTTCTTTATCATTTGCCATTCAATGTCCTGTCCTAATGATAATTGATGATATTTATTATAATGTAAGGATTGCTGAATTATTCAACATCACTATCTTCAAATCAGTATATATTAATTGTGAAATCTTGTCCACACACTTTTGAAGTCGATCAAAATTGCTTCAGAGGGGTGTGTGCAAGACAGCGGGAGTTTGAATCAATGGAATATCATATGCTTGTATGTGGTGCTGTCCCTGTGGATGTTTTTTTACTATGAACTTCGTGTTGTTGATTATTTTGTGGCCAGTATCTTATTAATCATCTCTCTCTCTCTCTCTCTCTCTCTCTCTCCATCTTCCTTTGATTTCTTCATCTTTCTTTCTTATTTTCTTATTTTGGTGTAATTGAAATAAAGCATTTTTTCTCTTTTGCACATGTCTGCTAAGTTTCTGTCACTTTTCTTTAGGAAACTGAAGGGACCTGGGGTACCAACAACTGTCCTGAAATCTTCTCCCAGTACCTGCGATATTTATGTTGTATCAAAGCGTCGAGTCATCACAGATTCAGCTAATTCCACATCAACTAGTGGTATGTTGAAACTGCTTTCTTTTAAGTTAATGTGTTGTCATGCCCTTGATTGTCTCTTTTTGAATCTTACAGAGACCAGCACACGCCTCCAAGCACTTACTCAAAGGGATTATGGAGAGGGCTACAATGGCATTAATGAACAATTATCAGGACTAAGTGCTTCCTCTGTGGATACAAAAGTTCATAAAAACTTTGGAGCATCATCAGAGAATTATCCAAGTTCTTATGCATTCTCAAATATTAGTTCTCCAGTAAATGCTAGTGTAAATATGAACTTTAATTGTCAAAACTTGGGAGATAACTTTGAAACTACTCTCGTTAAGCAATGCAATTCCATGGCTTCTTCAATACCTGAGCAGGTGAAATTTTGAAGTATTTTGTTGTGTTACTTGCATGTTATTTCCTTGTAACTTTGCAGAAATGTTTCCTTTTTCAAGGTGATGGCGATTTTAATTTGCTAGCACTTTTTGCAGTCAGCTGTGCATGCTGAAATTGAAAAGCTGCGGCTAGAATTACAAACTACTGTTGCCATGTATGAAAGAGCTTGTGAAGAGGTGGTCCATGCCCAAAACAAGGTGGGAGACTTTCAGAAATTAAAGGAATGGAAATCAACACTTAGATTCAATTGGAGTTTAATTAGGTTTCTGAAGATTTTAGTACAAAAGAAAGTACTTATAGCTTTCATTTTGCATATATTATGGCACAATTTCACATATTCATATAAATGCATGAACGTGAGCTTTGAGAAACAATTTCTAATTCAGTGAGGTCCAAGAAACGCATCACTCTATCTCCCATACCATGGAACATTTATCATTGGTGCTTAAGTTTGCAGGTTCAGTTACTTTCTTCTGGGTGCGTTGAAGAGGCAAGAAAAGTGAATGCTGCCTTGGAAAGGAAAGAAACTTTGTCAAAAATTGCTGCTGAAGAGAAAGCAAAGCATTTGCAAGTCTTGAAGGAGGTTGAGGAAGCAAAAAAATTGCTTGATAAAGAGGCTTATGAAAGGCAAATAGCTGAAGTGAAAGCCCAGAAGGAATCCTCAGAGAAACAAAAAATTGTTGATGCACTCTTATATAATGACAGGAGGTACAGAAGGTATACTAAGGATGAAATTGAGGTAGCAACAGATTTCTTCTCTGAAAATAATGTTATTGGTGAAGGAGGTTATGGGAAAGTTTATAAATGCAATATTGATCACACTCCTGTAGCTGTTAAGGTTCTTTGGCCTGATGCTGTTAAGAAGAAAGATGAGTTTCTAAAGGAGGTAATTTTAGCTCAAAATTGTTTTTTCAATAATCATAAAGTGAGAAGGCCTACTTAATCTATTATGCCTATCACCATACTATTGATAATTTGTCTAGAGAAGTAGAGATGGAGTATGCACCATACACAATTATATAAGAAACTATAGACTTTATATTAGTAATGAAAATGAGAAGTTACAAAAGTAGATTAGTAGACCATCAGGAGAACTAAAATTCTATGCACAATATTCACCCTGCAATTTGTTTGTGGTTCGATTTGGATTTGTCAAATTCACTGGTTAATAAAACTTTTACTGACATTTTTGCAAAATGTTCCACACTGTTATAAATATCCTAAAACTAATCCGTTGGCAAGAAAGGGATCCCTCTTTGTTGATTCCTTTACTAGGACCATATTCCTGACATCGTCTCCATTGGGGCAAATGATTCTTAAAAATTTTAAATTATCGTCCCTAAATTTTTTATAGTTTTTACTTTTTCTGGTTTTTTTCTTTTCGTGGTTCTTTTGCATATATTCAAGTCTGTTGCTACAATTATGATATAAAATTTCGTTTCTATATATGTCCAGCAATTTTTCAGATACTCCTGAATTTTCCTAGGTGCTATTTCGAAATTTAGAAAATCATAGTTGGTGATAAAATTACTGTTCCCTATTTTTGCAGGTTGAAGTGTTAAGCCAGATACGACATCCACACATGGTTCTGCTGCTGGGAGCATGTCCTGAGATCAGTTGCTTGGTCTATGAATACTTGGAAAATGGAAGCCTGGATGAATATATTTTGCACCAGAATGGAAAGCCCTCACTTCCTTGGTTTGTTCGGTTCCGCTTAGTTTTTGAAGTAGCTTGTGGGCTAGCATTCTTACACAACTCAAAGCCAGAACCTATTGTCCATCGAGATCTGAAACCGGGTAATATCTTGTTAGATGGAAATTATGTGAGCAAAATTGGGGACGTTGGGCTAGCCAAACTCATGTATGACATTGTGCCTGATAACATCACAGAGTACAGAGACTCTATTATTGCTGGTACTCTTCACTACATGGATCCAGAGTATCAGAGAACTGGCACCCTTCGACCAAAATCAGACCTGTATGCTTTTGGAGTGATTGTGCTCCAGTTGTTGACAGCTCAGTCTCCAAATGGACTCATATCGAAAGTTGAAAATGCCATCAAGAGCAGCACCTTTGCAAACATATTAGATAAGTCGGTTACAGATTGGCCAGTTGCTGAAGCAGAGGAATTGGCTCAAATTGCGTTGAAGTGTTCAAAGCTTAGATGTAGAGACAGACCAGATCTTGATACTGAAATTATGCCAGTTCTTAAGAGACTCAAAGATTTTGCAGATACTCATGTAAAGTTGAATAGAGATAATATTTATGCACCAAACCACTTCTTTTGTCCGATCCTTCAGGTGAAACGTAACACTGAATTAGAGAAACATATGATTTACAAATCTGATTCTCTTTAGCCTACATCTTATATACAGTTTTTTTTGTGCTTCATCTTGTGAATAATGCAGGAAGTAATGGAAGATCCATACATTGCAGCTGATGGTTTTACATATGAGCACAGAGCAATCAAGGCATGGCTTGAAAGACATAATGTATCACCAGTAACAAAGCTTAGGCTCCAGCATTCAATGGTCATTCCAAATTACACATTACGTTCTGCCATACAGGAGTGGAAGTCACCTGTGACATATTCAGGTGCTATCTCTGCAAAAGATTGTTGAAGTGCCTCACTTTAGGAGAGCTTGGCATTGCCCGAATCCTCTTTCAATGCCATTGTGATGAAGGAAAATTAACAGATGCAGCTGGCGTATGGTGTAAAGTAATCAACTAAAGTAGTATGGGGGTGAGAGTTCAAGTGCCTTTGACATGATTCATGAGTGAAATGATTCATGAGAAGTAATTTGCTTTATTATGTTTTACGCATTTGGAAGAGCATAAATCCTGGTAATACGAATGTACAGCATAGATGTCTCGTTAGAAACAGGTTATGGTATACGCATTGTTGATCAAATTGTTATTATATTGGGAGGTGTTTCCAAAAGGGCATAATTTCATTTTACACGTTAATTTGCCAATATGAAGATGAATTCCAAAAAATGTGGATGGCAATGCAAAAATTGGGTTATGAATTTGAGTTATGCGCCACCAGGCCTACAAAAAAATTGATCCCTTTTTATCGTTTCCCAGAATTATTTGAAGTCTCAGACACTAAATTATTAAACCGAAATAAGATTCTGATCACCGATATGGGCTCAACATAATTGTATCAACACAATTCATTTGATCAATCACATCCTTGCATTTTTATATAAAGCTACAGCATAAAAGGCAAGATCCAGCTTGATACTAGTAATTATCTATACATACAGTGCCAAAAATATTTATACATTTTACTAGTTTATGCTATAAGGTGCTGAAAGGTATCAGTTATCCACTTGTGTAAATTCTAAAGCATTTGCATCTGGATCTCGTGTGAAGATCGCTGGCCGCCCAGATTTGCTAAGTGTGTAGGGAATACCTACAGAAGAGAACGGCTGAAAAAGTTATCTATGTTCACTACCTGCCAAAAAAAAAAAAAATTACACATATGGATGGATATCTTGAGAATAATCTACCTGCTTTATCAAGAATTGTTTTGAGTTTAGACACATCCCGAATTGCAATACAAGTATGACGATCTCGACCTCCATGTTCAGGTCGTCCAGTTAAGGGGTCTGGATTTGGAAGCTCCATCAAATGAATCATTTCAGAACCCACCCACAACCAAGCACCCCTGTAGGGAAGCTTATCATCTGGCCTTGCCTCATTGGTTTCAAGACCTAATTTTATGAATTGAAAAGAAAACTTTATTTCCTTTTCTCCTCTGTTCATACATAACTATTGTAACTGAAATAGAAACGCACCTAGAATATTCTGATAAAACTCAAGTGACCTTTCAAGGTTTTCACACAGAATTCCAACATGATGCACGCTTACAACTCCATAATCTGTACCAATATCAGAAAATAAATAAATATGACTTATTTGAAAAAGGAAGAAATACAAAATAATTTAACAAACAATAAAATTGGATGATATACCACCTCTTTTTTTTTTTTTTTTCCCCCTTAAAATTCTAACTTCTACGTCATGGTTGCCCATAATAATGCAATAACAATTATGGGAGTTGTCGACCGGCAAGAAATTTCCAGAACAGCATTTAAGAAGACATTTAAGGACAATTTTGATACAAAGAATCTATACAGGAAAGCAGAAAAACCAACTCTGATGAACATATGGAACTTTTTCATTCCCTGTTATTGCTTGCTTGTATATCATCAGTCAATATTAAATTAAAAAATAAGCGTTAACCCAATACAGCCAAACTCTCAACATGGAATAAATTAGTTGCATGAAGTTTCAAGGCCCGAACTCTTTTTCCTGGAAAGCAACTAGTAGGAAATGTATCCTGATCTATCAAAGTGGATGATGAATTAAGAAAAGTTACCAATCTTGTCACTGACTCTAACTGAATCTTTCTCAAGTACACCTCCTTCGGCAGACATCTTTGCTTTAGTCGTGAAACAAAGCCCACTGTATCTACCATTTCTCACAGTCATCTGTTGAACATTGGATGATGTGTTTGAAAATATGGAGCTGACACTTGTACAATTCACCTGCAATCAAAGACAGGAGATTAACAGCCATCAAGGATAACAAAAGAAAATGGCCAAAATGCTTTGAGAAGTACAAATTTGTCAGCAACGAGATCTAGAAAACTAGTTTTTAGGCCATGTAAAACTGCATAGGTTTCATTTTGAAATGTGGAACATTGCCAGTGCAGTTTTTTCCATCACATTATGGTAAAATTAAAGCATTTATGAAGGACCAAAATGCTTTCAATATCCCAATACCTAGATATTTGCAGGAACTGACGGTAAAACTCGATTAAAAGCTATAAATCTGTCCAGCGACAAACCTAAACTTCTATCTCTCATATTGCCAGCCTACAAATAGACAGAGAATAAATTATGTTTTCCAGCAGCAAACCTGTGGTAATAATTTAAGAGATGGAAGTATTACAACATGTTTTATTTCAGCAGCTATCTGTTGTAATAATTCAAGACCCTTTATACTTCTTCAATGTTATTCAAGTCATCACACCAAATATCACAGTATAAGTAATCTTACAGGCACAAAATCATCCTTGTCTATTAAAGATTTTAAACCAAGTGGAACACAGCACCAAACATAGTTTAGATTAATTCCCCTCACTCCATTTTCTGGGTAGCCAAGCAACAGATAAATTTAATTAAAAAAAATGCAAAATACAAGTGTTGTTAGGTAGTGTTTGGTTATCAAATTATCAACTTGAAAATGCAAACTTCAATGCAATTTTTGCTTCGCAAATCAAAAACAAACAAACAGTAACTCACTCTCCATATCAATCAAATTAAAAAAAAAAAAAAAAAAATCCAGGTCCCGACCTAGCTCATTTCAACCCACTTAACAAATAATGAACAATTCAATTGCCACAATAATTCAAGTAGTCCAGCTAGTTTCTACAATTAATGAATCTCTGAAATCGTTCAATAATGCAGTCAGAGATGATAAAGTTACCTTATGTTGACCAGGAACGGTGGCAGCTGGACTGAGAAGAGACGCCATCGATGAACACTGAGTCATCTGTTCTGAGTCAGTTTTCTTTATTTATTCAAATAATTTGTGAACCAAAATCGCAACAACGACTCTTCCCAGTTGATTGGTTCACAAATTTCTTGCGAATAAACGTCGAACCACAGCCACAAACTTCCTCCTAGGGGTAAATCTATAAAATCAAATAAATTGACGGTACAACAGAAAATAAATAAAACTTTAGGGAAATTTTCGTAAAACAAATAATTTGAATATGAAAACAGTCGGCCAAAGACTACCTATTATCAACCGTTCGACATTTTTATGATTCTACACTCTGTCCCGCGTCAACTCAACTGCCCATTGATTTAAAGATCTATTACTTTAATTAACTCTAATTAATAATTAATTATTTTATGCCAATAAGTAGGTAGATCTGCCGAGTTTTAACAGGATTTCAATATAATTAATATTTAATTAGTTAAATTGTTTTTTCATATGTTATTTTCTTTTGAAACTAGAGCTTATTTGCTCCTGTTTAAGTTGATATTCTCTAGCACAACCAACCAGAATATTGATTTGTGTAATTTAATATGCTCATAGTTATAGGCTATACTATAGCTGATAAAATAACGTATTAAAATTTAAATGAAAGCGAATCTTATCGTACAAATTATGGAATAAAGGAAATCTGGTTATTTATTGGGAAGAAACTATGAAAAGTGAAAACGTGGTACACAAGTTGCCGACATGGGGGCACAAGTCTAGACTCGGGATGAATTATGAATTATCTTGTGAATATTTTTTAAATTAAAAGAAAATTGAGAATTATGATGTATGCGATGACATGGAGGATGACGGTGACAAGGACACCTGGCAAAATATCTGAAGTAAGATGGAATATCTCTGGATGGAAGATATGTGATTCACGGGGTTGGTCAGTTGGATGATCAAATCACATGCCTATTAACTATTTTTTTCATCGATATCTTTCTCAACCATTCTTCCCTTACTTGGGCTGAAATAAATCACATGCTTATCAAAACATTTTTTTATATATTTAATTACTTTAACTTTAAATCACATCTTACCACCCTTTGTAATTGTTAACAAAAGTGATTTATACAAATAATGAAATTAAAATAGAAGCTAATTTGAAAATAAAAACATAATTTATTTTACTTCTTCAATTATAGAAATTCGGTTTAAAAAAAAAAAAAAATCCAACGGTTAAAAGCATGTTTCATAAAAATATAAAAATTAACTCACAATCTAATCTTATAAATTTTTACTCATAATCCCGATGTGATAATTTGTAATTAGTTAACTTACAAATAGACATGTCTGAGAGAAAATTTCATGAAATGTTTTCAATAGGAAATTCGTATTTGACTTGATTATTTACATAAGCATCTATACAAGTCATATAATAATATTTGATAGTTTATTAATTTTGATCTGACATAAAAATATTGTGCAAAAATATTGTAAAATATAATGATAAAATCTTGCAACGTGGGTTTCAGGGCAATAAAAACGGCGTAGCTCATGGTGTTGAAAATTTTGTTCAATGTTTTAAAATACGAATTTTACTATGGTGTCCATAACCATAAGCTGTGCCTGTAAAGATTTTTAACATTCAAATACTTAAAAATTAGATGTCTAAAAATGACCCACCAAATCAATCTTTGTCATTATTTGAACACCTTTAGGGTCCTTTAGTTCTTTATTTTATACCCTATTTCCAATCTTATTCTTAAAATAATTGTTTGTTTCATTATTTAAGAAATACTATTATATTATATTTAATTACTTTTAGACTCCATAAATTTATTAATTTAATTAAACACCCCAGCAAAAAAGTTTAAAAATTAACAAAAACACTCTCACCCAGGCATCCACTCATAATTGTCAGATTCCAACAACCACCGTTGATGGTAACTAGAAACTGTCACAACGGCATATAAACGATCGGAACTGGCTGGTAATTTATCGATCTGGCCAAAAAAGTCCAAATCGACGTACAACCAGTCTGCATCATAATGCCAGATTCCGACCAGATTCCGACAGTGGTGACCGAAATCTGGCACTATGGGTGGGTGGGGGTGTTTTTGTCATTATACAAATTTTTTATATATTAGGGTGTTTAGTTAAATTAGCAAGCCTATGAGGTTTTTTGGTTAATTTTTAAATTTTACCTCGTAATAATCACCCTACTCAACTACTTAATACTATTTACAAAATCCTATCCAAAATAACAAACCAAACCAACTCTTAAATATTAAGTAATTTAATAACGTTTTCCCCTTCTTATATTAGTTAAAAGCTTGATTGTCCATACATCATTGTCCAATAATAAAAACTTGTCGTTTTTTTTTTTTTTTTTTTTTAAGAATAAATTAATGGCATTATTTTATAAAAAAAATGGAAATTACATTAGCTCTTTTAATGATAATATGTCGCATAAATTTGTTTGGTATAGTTTGAATAACAAGTAGATTGTATATATTTTATTTAATTAGAGGGAATAAATTCGATTAAATTTTAATGTGTTGATGAATTTTCCTAATCGAACTATTTCTAAACTTTGAAAACCAATTCAAATTGATGAATTTCAAACTCAAGAATCATCAAAGTAAATTTGATGGACGATTAATATTGTAAAGTTAATTCAATGTATTAGATTCCAATCCACCTAATATTGGATTGATTTATATTGAATTATTCCGTTAATCCGTTTCTAGATATTGAATTACCTTTTAGACCCATCGTATTGTACTTTATCTGACCAACACTCCACTAATGTATTTTGTCACTTTTAATATTTTTACTCAATTCAACCATGTCTATATCTTATATCTCACGAATTATATTTTTAATCTCTTGTCCATTGAAATGTAATTCTCTAATATTGGGAAAGATTAATATTTAATAAGTTTTGTTCAATTAAAGTAAGATTTTTGTTGATTGACACAAAAATATCATTATTAAACCAGATATGTATAAAGTTAAATTGGATGATAAAATCTTAGACTTTAGGTTAAGATGAGCTTCTAGATAAGGGTTCATAACAATCTCCTCCTTGTGATTTGAAAAAAAAACAACAGATCCAAGTGTTCTAGAAAGTCAACAAAACCACCCAAAAAGTTAACAAAATCCAAAACTTTTTTTCTTTTTTCAAAAAGACTTCAATATCCTTTGTCTCATTACACTTCCCTTTCTGATTTTATTTTATTCAATTTTTATTTTAATAATTGATTTAGTTTTTATATAGTAAAGTATTAATTAAAATAGAGCCTAAGTTTCATATAAAAAAATTATGTTTCCCCAATCCGTATGAAATGGTTAGACGGAGAAAATGTATGATGACAATCAATATTAATTAAAGTTAGCTATTAAATATTACTACATCTTGTGCCTAATTCCCTGACGATCAGATTTGTGTCACGCGTCCTTAAGGTGTATCAAAGTCTGATGGCCAAGTTCCTTCCACGTGTCGTCCCATATATCTGTGTTTACCTTTTCTCACAAGATGATTACTATCACAAGCATAGGTTAAACTGCCATTAGCATGATTTGGTTTGTCACAAGCATGAGAATTATTAACTCAGATCCTAATTAAGGAGGATTACGCGTGCAAACTACCCCGTAATACCTACTCTCAACCATTGTCAGACGAATCAAGTATAAAGAAAGCCTACAACCTCCGTTTCAAATGTTGAATTCTAGTTTTAGTAAAGTTCAAGAGGAAAACACACTTGTACGTGTGAAAGAGCGTTAATGAAGAAAAGGTCGCTAGAGCTAAATGTTCTCCATTAATCTCGCGTCCATTCCCCTTGTAGTTTCACTCGATTCTGTAATACTTTTAAACAATAGCACAACAGTTGATGTAGACTTAGTCTTGATACCATTGAACCACTATAAAAATATTTTTTGTTCTTTACTTATTTATGTCGTTTTATCAACCTCGTTAGTTACCAATAACCAAACACACATTTTACTTTGCCCCTCCCAAAGTCGACTTAGTATCTCTGATTGATACAAATCTTTGCATCAAAACTACCTATACAATTAAAATAAAATAAAATCAAAGAAATAAAAAACCAAAGATTATTACAGTTAGGCAAAAAGTATTATAGCCTTTATAAAAAGTCAAATAACGAATATAAGGGTGTCTTTGTGACTTTCCTTAAACCTTGAGGAGGAAATTTTATAAGCCCTATTAGCCGAGGAAAAAATGCTTTTGCAATTGAGTACTATTAAAGTATCCTTTTTGTACAAGATTCCCTAACTCAGGTTCGCCTATTTCCCCCTACCTTCCTTCTAATCTCCCTTTAAACCCCGCCTTCTTAAGAAGCTTCCCAATTCCCAACGTTCCCAATTCTAAAACCAGCAAAGCCAAAAACAAAAAAAAAAAAAAAAAACAAACAAACAAAACGTAGGTTCCCGAACCGCGTAATTTTTTTTACATAAAAATCCAAAAAGTCAAGTCACCGTCAAAGGCCCACATCGCGTTCACATATGCGCACACGCTTCCTTATACTCGGTTCTCTTCTGTGTTTCACCTGTTATATAAACACTCATTCTTATCAATTCCTTTCCAATTTGAAATCAATCGTGTTCACATTTCTTTCTTGTTCTTACAACCATTTTCTTCGCATATTTTGTCAACCCTCCAATACAAAGTACACCAGTAGACTTATTCTCGTTGATGGAAATTACTCCTTTCCCATTTCTTAATCAAGAGGAGTTTTCCCATTTCTTGGGTCTGTTCCCTGAAATGGATAATGGGAACACCAATTTAAAGAAGCGGAGAAGAAAGGAAGACGAAGAGCAGAAGGGAGAAGAGTTAAACAAGAGTGCCTGGAGTGATATACTTACTTCCTTAATTATGTTAGATGAAGAGGAGAAACGCGAACAAGAGCAATGGTCCACCCAGTCTCACCAAGATGAAGCTCTTTTGGAAGACAACCAAAAGCGAACTAATCATGCTATGAATGATTACTTTACTCAATTACAAGACCAATATGTTGAGTCGGATGCAATGGATCAGTTGAGGACCAAACGGTGTCGTCGTGCGGCTTCGGTGGTCGCTACTACTGCTGTAGCTGCAGCTTCATCGGAAGACACCACCGCTCTTCCGGATAATCCGAACCAGAACAATTCGGGTGGGCCGAGTCACAGGCGGTTGTGGGTGAAAGACCGGTCCAAGGACTGGTGGGAGGAGCGTGACCACCAGGATTTTCCGGACGAACAGTTTAAGCGTGATTTTCGGATGAGTAAGGCCACGTTTAACATAATTTGTGAGGAGCTAAAATCGACGGTTATGAAGAAGAACACCATGCTTCGTGATGCTATTCCGGTTCGCCAAAGAGTGGCGGTCTGTATTTGGAGGCTGGCCTCGGGTGAACCGCTCCGGGTCGTGTCGAAACGGTTCGGACTGGGGATATCCACTTGTCATAAGCTGGTGCTGGAGGTTTGCTCGGCGATTAAAACGGTCTTGATGCAGAAGTATTTACAGTGGCCCGATGAGCAGAGAATGAAACAAATTAAGGAGGAATTCGAGTCTTTTTCTGGGATTCCAAAGGTTGGTGGATCAATGTACACAACTCATGTACCAATCATTGCGCCCAAGGCCAGTGTCGCCGCTTATTTTAATAAGAGACACACTGAGAGGAACCAGAAAACGTCTTATTCCATTACTGTTCAAGGAGTTGTTGATCCAAGAGGCGTTTTCACTGATGTTTGTATCGGGTACCCAGGTTCAATGCCGGATGATCAAGTTCTCGAAAGGTCTGCTTTGTCTCAACGGGCCAATCGCGGGCTTTTAAGAGATGTTTGGGTCGTGGGAAATTCTGGGTATCCTTTAATGGACTGGGTTCTGGTGCCTTACACTCAGAAGAATTTGACATGGACACAACACAAGTTTAATGAGAAAATTGGGGAGATTCAGAGGGTTTCTAAGGAGGCTTTTGCAAGAATGAAAGGCAGATGGGCTTGCTTGCAGAAGAGGACTGAAGTGAAACTACAGGACTTGCCTGTCGTTCTTGGAGCGTGCTGTGTTTTGCACAATATATGTGAGATGAGAAATGAAGAGATGGATCCTGAGCTCAAATTTGACCTCTTCGACGATGAGATGATTCCTGAAAATATTTTGAGGTCCCAATCTTCTGCACAGGCCAGGGATCACATTGCCCACAATCTTCTTCACCATGGGCTTGTCGGGCCTTCCTTCTAGGTTGAATTCTGTTTTTGCAAGACTCTTATCAGAGTCTAGCTATTCTTTTTGGGGTATACCTTGTTGGTTATTACATAGTTATGTTGTATGTTGTTGTAGGAATAAATTATCATTGAATTTTTTGATGGGTTCGCTTCTGTATAAAATTTGTTTGCCCTCTTGGCTAATAAATGATAATATTTGATTTCTGTATCGAACTTTGGCATTCTTACATTCCTTTCCGAGCATCCTCTACAGTTTCCGACTACTATCAGTTTATTAACAAAAACAATAAGAAGAATGATAGCCATCCTCATCCTGTCCGTTTCATATGTTGAATGTCAATACAATTTTATTTTTCTAATAATTAATGGTTGGCTCCACAGTATCTTGACTTTAGCCAAGTAAACGGGCCGCTTTTTAATTGTTTGACTACAATGAACCCTTAGTCAAAATAGGATTAAATAAATCAAGACAAACAACCAAATTATGGACGGTGATTCATTTTCCCTTTTAAGATAAGAATTAAGCTCTCCGCGTAGGAATGTATCCTTTCACATCTCCTAAAAATATCAATTAATATCTGGTAATTACTAATTAATGTATATTTTTAATCTACATTCACTTAATCACTTGCCATTTTTCAGTTAAATTTCAATAATATATATATATATATGGTCGAAGGTGTTCGAACTAACTTACATGCACCCCAACTAATCTTTCAAAATACTGGAACTATCAGTCGGATAAGAGTTTTTAATGACTATCCCTATTAACAATTGAGTATAGACTTGAATTTATAATATCTTGAGTAATATACTCAAAAGTCTTTATTAAACTATTCAATCACCCAGAAGTAGCTATCTATCATAATATTTTGTTTAAACGTAAACATGTACAATGGTTTTTCATTTTTTTTTGTTAGAAAAAAAAAATTTCCTACAATTATAATAAAGATTAGAAGAAATTGATGAAATCATTAAAAGGGTTATTCAATAATCATTGGAATAACTTAAAAAAAAAATTAAATAAATTGAATTCAATGGCTACCCAAAGCTGTTTGGGTCAATGTTAGACCAATTTCAATTTGTATTTTGTATTATAGACTAGTAGATTGAGAATTTTATTTTGGGTTGAGGTCACAAATGACGTTAAATTCATACCCGAATCTTCCATATAAGTAAAACACACAAATTGGACCCTTATGTCCTTACGCCGTTGATGATGGAAAGCATTGATGATTAAAGACCGTTGATTACTGAATCACAATTAATCGGGTCCACCTTGATCTAGTTGGGACGCGCTGCCTCCTCACACGTACACTTCCAGGGTCCAAACTGTTGAAGGGCAACAGTTTGTAGGACCCAAGCCAATCTATTCCCTCCACGTGTCTTTGACAAATAGGATGTTGAATTCAGCAGCTTTCATTTCTTTCCTGGGAAAGAAAACAAAACATAACATGTAAAAATAACCTGAGAGGCTGAGACCCTCCTGCTTCGTTGTCACAATCACTAAAATTCACAAATTAAAGAAGCGAGATAGAGAGAGAAGGTAAGAAAGAAAGGCATGGAAAATCAAAACAACAAGGTGGAGAAGGACAAGGAAGAGGAGGATGACGCGGTAGGGCCGATGGCGGGAGCGGAAGAGGAAGGAGAGGTGGGGTCCAGCTTGACCATGGAGAGGGTGGCTGCGGCCAAACAGTATATCGAGAACCACTACAAGGCTCACAAGAAGCACCTTCAAGAACGCAGAGAAAGGTTTGTTTCCTAAAATACGTATTGCATTTTGAAATTTCTCAATTGGATTTTCGTTTCTCTTATTTGCATGCCTTATTGAATTCGATTAATTTCGACGTTTCTTTGTATATTTAAACGGCTGACGATTAAGCATTCATCATTGCATCTTCTGTGAATTGTAATTCTTTTATTTGGTGTTTTGATTGAGGCATTGTTATTACATTGCCTCAAGGGTATCGGTTAATTAAGGGAATATGGAATTATGAGAATATTTCACAATCAATTTTATTTTGATATTTTATACGGTACAGTGCAGTGAATTATGTTGAGCAGCTGGCACTGTCATAATCTTTAATGTACATGTGCTTGGGAAAGAAAATGTGGAGGGGAATTTATTGTTAAAGTTGTATTTGTTGGGAGTGTCTTTGGAATTTTTGGTGGGCAAACCTAGGTGTGGCCTTTTAAGAATGTGATAGCTGGTAGTGTTATAGTCCTCGAAAATTTGAATGCTAATGCTAGACTGCTTGTGGACATTTGCAGAGGTGTTGAGAGAAAACTACTTCTAAGTAGTTAGCTAATAGTTTGTTTACCTTTATAACAGAGTTGGGAATTAGATAATAATATTGGTGAATAAAGAATAGAGCGGTAAAGAGCTGTGGAGAGAGGGAAAGAACGAGATAGAGAGGTCGAATAGCATCTGTGCTTCTTTAGTTTAGAGACTGACTGGGCCAATTTAAACTGAGAAAAAGGATAGGTTTTACCTTTTTCAGAACAATTTGAAACTTTAAGTTTAGAGCCTAGAGGGGCCAATTTAACATCAAGTCATCAACCATAAACTGTGTGTTCTGGTGCCAGCTGAGAGGGGGCAATTTAAAATAAAAAATAGAAATGGTTTGTTTTGGGGCAAGCTAATAAGGAGGAAGATAAAAACGATGAGCCCTATGCTGCCTCCATTTCTTTATACTTTAATGTTACTGTTAGATGATACATACAGTTTTTTCTCAAACCATTGGTGTGTCTAACTTATATGACTGGTACTTTATTTGATTTCCATTCTGGTTTCTTGTTTCGTGCATTCATACAGACACAAAACACTGCATTGTAGTGCAGCATAGTTGGTCTTCGGGGGTTAAAAGTTTCAAATTCTCCTGCATTTCTTGTAATGATGTTTTATCATGAGATATTGTTTTCCTTAATCAATCATTTTTTTGCAACACTGGAGTTTTCTGTGTTTAATAGTGGTCCTGGAATAATTTTATTATTGGCAGGCGATCGGACCTGGAAAAGATGTTGGCATGTTCAGATGTTTCAGAAGAGGAACAAATCAATCTGCTGAAGGACTTGGAGCGCAAAGAGACAGAATATATGCGTCTTAAAAGGCATAAGATATCTGTTGATGATTTTGACCTTCTCACTATTATTGGAAGAGGTGCATTTGGAGAGGTTAGATGCATGAAATATATATAAATGTGAAGAGACTTTTTTTTGACAATTGTCCTTAACACTTGGTTGATAAAAGGGCTTTGGGCTAAACTCCATTTATATTTGGAAATCAGTTACAATAAAATTTACAGTATGATACCTGTATGAAGCAAAAAAAATTTCTAAGTATTTTTGAATTCGATTTCAATTATCATCAATCAATCTGACCTCAAAATCATATCAAGTAATATTGGGGAAAAAAAAAAAAAAAGAATAAAGTATGCCAACTCAGGGTAAGATTTAGGTAATCATTGCATAAGAAAGGTTAGTGCACTGATTATTTTTGTAATGTGTACTCTCATTGCTCAGTCCATGTTTTTGATCACCTTCTTGGTTTCTTGGTGAGAATGGAGATTTTCTAGTACATGTTGCCCTAATACTTCCCATTTTATTGCTCAGGCTCCTTATCTAATGGTCTATGTTTCATTGCATTAGCTCAACTGAATCTGATTTTTCCCTAAGCTAAAAGCAGTTCTCAAAATGTTTTATGTACCACTTTTTATGAAAATATATGAGGGGGATGGGCCAGAAATATCTAGTCCCATGTTATTAGCAGTGGCTGTTGAGGAAACATTTGGTGGTAAAATTAGTATATAACAATTATGCCACTGACCTGTATGAGGTGAACATTGGTGGTATAGTTACAATCCATGTTGCTGGTAATGAAGTGTGATGGTGGTTATTGAGAATTGAATGCAGTAGCAGTTGTTTGGGCAATCATAGAGGAACTGATTATGGAAGTAGGTGCAATAGGTGATCATATTGTGGTTATTTGAGGACTCATCCATGATGTGATGTCTGTGGTGATAGTGGTGGAGTACGTTGCATGTTGACATGGTTCAGTTGTCCATCATGAATTAGTAGGTAGTAATGTCATGGTGGTGCTGCAAGGGTATGTAAGCTTGTAGCTTTAGTGAGTAGAATGGTGGTATTCGTCAGGTTGTTGGTAGAATTCCTTGTTTAACATGTTCCAGACAATAGGTAATTTGGATTCTTGAGTCCAACCTTATGATTGAGTAGTGCATTGTTACTCTTTTAAGTTTCTGAAAAGTTCCCTGTAATTAAGTTTTGCATTAGGAAGCAGAAATCTAACTGCAGTGTAGTTTTTAGATCTTGAAACTCCTTGCCATTAGTTGCAATGAAGCTTGAAAGACCTTATTTAATGACCTGTGCTTAAGCTTTGTCATAGGAAGGTGTCTCTCTCTCTCTTTCTATCCAAGTCCAAATATATAGGCTACACAGTGGGGGATAGCCTTCCTCATCCTTTGAATTCCCCCTTGCATGCCTTTAACCATAGTGAGCTCTGATTTGAGCCCAGATCATTTATATGACCCCGAATGACTTACCATTAGAACTAACTAGCACTTTCTTTGTCATACAAGGTCTAGTTAGACTACTACGGCATTTGAACAACGATGTTTCTTTTAACTGAATTTTGTGGAGTTTCTTGCAATTCTTACTCTTCCTTATTTTGCTCAATTACCTCTTTGATATTAATTTTACTTTGTACTTAAGGCTCTTTTTTCCCGTTTTAGCAAGACACCAAAATTTAAATTGAGGTGAATGATGTTATTTGTAGATTACTATCTTCATTTTATTACCCAAGTGCTTCATATGTTACCTCCGTTTTCTCAATTGTTGCAGTGTGCTTGCTGTTTAATTTATTTCTAGGAAGCTTATATATTTTCATTTTACAGGTTAGATTGTGTCAGGAGAAGAAATCAGGCAATATTTATGCCATGAAAAAGTTGAAGAAGTCAGAAATGCTTAGCAGGGGACAGGTGAGATATGAAATTATTAAGTTAATTTTGTTCTAAGAGGTGCTCAAAAACTTCTATTTTGTACCAAAATTATTAGTATTATATAAGGCATGCTATGTTGTTTAGAATCAATGAAATCTTTGTTTTCATATCTATGGCCCATTCCTCTCTGTAAATGATGTAGGCTGTGTGTTAATAATCTAAAGAAAAAGGTTGCTATATGCTCTGTGTTTCCTCTACCTGTGTATTTTCTTGATTTGTCTTTATATAACTTTTCAAGCTGCATAAAAGTTTCAACTTTGGTCTAAAGTGTTTCATGCAACATGACGTACAATATTAACAACAATGAGGACACTTCCCATCTTCCCATCTTATAAGAACCATGAAGTGTTAGCTGTTCTTTTGGACACTTATTTTTAAATTATTTAATATGCCTTACTTACCATCTTCCCTTCTTATAAGAACCATGAAGTGTTAGCTGTTCTTCTGGGCACTTCATTTTTATTAAAATATACACCTTCTGAACTGTGAGTCAGATGCATAGAATCGTTGTAGTTTGTGAATTGATAATAAGCCCAATCTCATGGTATCCTATTATGTGAATCAGTATTACTGCATCTTTAATTTTTTAAACTTCTAAGCAACTTATTTTGCAACTACTGTTGTCTCAATATTCTTGAATAGTCATGTCACTAAGGGACATCATTCACTGTCTAGATAGTTCTTCTCTAATTTACCATGTCCCTTTACTACTTGTTTGAACCTCTTAACATGCAGTTGTGTATATGCTACAGGTTGAACATGTTAGGGCTGAAAGGAATTTGCTTGCTGAAGTTGGCAGTCACTGCATTGTGAAACTCTTTTATTCCTTTCAAGATGCCGAGTACTTGTATCTAATTATGGAATATCTGCCTGGTGGTGACATGATGACTTTGCTGATGAGGGAGGAGACCTTGACTGAAACTGTGGCTAGATTTTACATTGCTCAAAGTGTGCTGGCCATAGAATCTATTCATGAGCACAACTACATTCACAGGTCTGTATTTTCCTGTAGTGACATGTTTATCAAAAAACATATTTAGGTACTGAGTTTCTTGAAGTGCAATGTATTTATAACTTGGTCTACATCTTGTTGGTTTATATTCACAACCAGTGTTGTGGTTATATTTCTCCAGAGATATAAAACCTGACAACCTGCTGTTGGACAAAAGTGGTCATATGAAGCTCTCTGACTTTGGTCTTTGCAAGCCTCTTGACTGCACAAATTTGTCTGCTATAAACGAAAATGAAGCTCTGGATGATGAGAATTTGAATGAATCAATGGATGTTGATGGCCGCTTTCCAGAATCTGGTAGTGGGAGACGCTGGAAAAGTCCCCTTGAACAATTACAGCATTGGCAGATAAATAGGAGGAAATTGGTATGCATTAAATCCTCTTTTTCTTGAGAACAGATATGGCTTTACAGCACATTTCTCTTCTGTTCTGATTGCAGATTACTTATGTACAAGACAGAAATGTTTCTATTTGTCTTTTGAAGGTTTATATAAATAAAAATCTAGATCGTGATATTATAATGGATGGAAATTTAATTGTGGCTACATTTGGTATTTGTTGATGAGTTTGTTTGCCCAAAGAAGGGTCATGTCTTAAATGAGGCATGGAAATGCAAAGTGATTTTTGGAGGCTGTGTTTCAATTCTCAGACTCTATAGGATATATTGGTTGTCACAGAATGCATGCTTTAATCATTGTCATGGTTGGAGTGGTTAATAACGGATCTACCTCCTTGTTCCTGTAACTCAAAATATATATATATGCTTTGCATTTTCTGCGTGAGTGTTTTTATCTAGATGCTTCAAAATTTTTGATTTAGTTTCCTTCATTATCTTTTCCTTTCTGTTTATCAGCATTTCTCCCTTATGGTTCTGTATGATTGGGTTGTTTATCTCTGCACATTGACTGAATTTTTACTTACAGCAAAAGAAGTGCAACTATCTTACTTGTGTTATTAGATGACTAATCTAGTCATTATTGTTGATTCCAATTACTTATATTTTGAAAGTTCTTTGTTTTAAGTTTCTGTTTTCTGATTATTCTATTAACAGGCATATTCCACAGTTGGCACACCTGATTATATTGCTCCGGAAGTGTTGCTGAAGAAAGGATATGGAATGGAGTGTGACTGGTCAGCTAATAAGATGAATTATGCTTTCTTTAGTTGATACAGCATAGATCTGTTACTTTCTCTATTTCACTTAAATGTCAACAGTACACCCTAACTCAAATATATACACACTAAATAATTACAAATATACCCTTTACCCTTTACACTATATATATACACATAGTTTCCAACAAGATCTTGTTGAAGGATTTATGCTATTCATGTCTGTCCATTTCTTGTGGCCATTATGTTTTCTTCTAATGTTTCTAAATGTATCCATACCTTAAGTGTTAATGTATCGAACTGTCGAAATGAAATTAGATCTTAAGCGTTGATATATGTGTATATGCATATACATGTTTATTATGGCTGATATATTATTGTGATCGGATAGTCTTTTTGTTGCTTCTACTTTGGTGGTTAGTAATGACATTTCTGTTCCATCATTTACATGAATCTTTATTTTGTAAAAATGGTTAATTTTCTACCAGAAAAGCCAAAAAGTATTTTGTATTTATTTAATATATTTTTTACTTTCCAAAAGGAAAGGATGATATCTCAGAGAAAATAATTTTTTTCCCCTTTAACTTAAATGGGGTTATATTTCCTCTATAATGAATCTATCCATTTTCGTGCTTGCAGGTGGTCACTTGGTGCTATAATGTATGAGATGCTTGTTGGTTACCCACCATTTTATTCTGATGATCCAGTAACGACATGCAGAAAGGTTTGCTTGATTTATTCTCTTGAGCTGAATATGTGATAACTGATAAGCTTTTCTGTTTTATCCAATTTTTAATATGTATGACCTATATCAAAATATAATTATTGAATCCAGTCTGTGTTAGGTGTCATATCCTCACTTCTGACATGCTTTTCAATGTTGCTGTACCTGTTTTCTCTGTTAATGTATATAATGAATTCAAATTATTTTATTACTGGCATCAAATAAGAAGAATTAAGTTAATGTCCTTATTGCACCACTTTGAATGACACATTAGAAGTATCTAATTATGAGTTGATTTCACTAACCTCATGTATTTCAGATTGTGCATTGGAAAAATCACTTGAAATTTCCAGAGGAGGCAAGGTTAACCCCTGAAGCAAAGGATCTAATCACTAGGTTGCTTTGCGATGTTGAGCATAGGCTTGGTACTCTAGGGGCAAGCCAAATTAAAGTACTTTTCTTATATGCTACAATCATCATTGATTTAAAAGTTTGCTATTGCTCTTTAGGAAGTCTTTTAACACCAAATATGATCAGGCTCATCCATGGTTCAAAGATATTTTATGGGACAAACTCTATGAAACGGAGGCAGCATATAAACCTGAGGTCAATGGAGAACTTGATACTCAAAACTTTATGAAATTTGATGAGGTAATGTATTCAGCCCTATCTCACTTTGGAACTGAGTCATTAATTGTGTTTCTGTCTTAACTATGTCCAGTTTAAATTAGGATGGGGCTAGTCCTGCTGATAAATTTAGGGTGCTGCATCATAAACATTATGCAAATCCATCTTCATCAGGCATGATGGTTTATAGGTTTCCTTAAGGCTATATCCTACATTATGTAGACTTGGCCCTTAAGAAATAAATCCCCATTTGGTACAAACTAAAATACCTTGAACCATTTTAAGTTGCCTTGGCTGGTGTTCAGTTATGTTCACCTTGATTCAGAGTGGGTGACGTGGGTTCACTTATCATGTTTGAAAAAGCACTCATGCAAAAATAAGAAAATTGAAAAAAAAAAAAAAAAAGAGATAGTATTGAGAGCTTTTCTTTCTTCTTCTTCTTCTTCTAAAAGCAGTGTGCAGTTTTTACCATTAATGATAGGTTTGTGTTTTTTTTTTTTGTAGTGACACATGAAGTTGTGTAAAAATGTGTAGGCTTGATTTCTTTCTTGTGCATTGAGCACGTGTTAATTTTGTTATTCTAGGAATTTATGTTCTTTGAAGAGGACAGAGGTTCTTAAACAGTTGGAATATGAATGTTAATATTTATCATCCCTACTTCTGTGCATTTATGTTGCTTACAAACTCTATAGTCTTTATTTATCTTTTCATTTATATGGATTTCTTAAGATTCTTTCTCATTGTTGATATGAAGTCATTCTAGTAAAATATTTGTACATAATTCTGATTGTGCTGTAGGTGGATGCCCCATCTGCAAAAAGAACAGGATCAGGGCCCATGAGGAAGGTACATAACTTTCTGTGCAGATGCATTATAGCAAAACCTGTTGGATTAAATTTAAATTACCGGTGTGTTGTGTGATTGTATTTCATTGAAGTTGAAGAACTTTATTATGAAAACTAACTCTAATTGGAGCGTAAACACTCATAGCCAAAGTACTTTGTGGCAAATAATGTCCAATCAGTAGACTTTTAGTACCAAGATTTTCTTTGGAGTTAAATGTAAGATGTGCAACTGAAATGTTAGCAGATTCCTAAACTGATGACCATGGAGTTAGCCCATTAATTGATGTATGCTATTCTGTTTACAATTTATTAACAATAAGATTTTGTTTGAGGTGAATGGAACTATATTATAAAGTGGATTCCATTGAGGTGATACCAATATATGGAATTGTGTTCTGATAGAACTTTAAGTTGGTCTCATCTTCATCAGTATAGATGATTCTCATTTTCTAAAATTTGATTCCAAATTATGGTCTCGGTCAAGGAGCACTGCCATAGCTCAATATCCACGACCTTATCAGCTAATTGGAGATTTTGCACATACTATCTGTTCTTTGAATAATCATTTTTATAATCTGGTTGTGTGAAAATGGGATATGCATTTAAAATGGATATAAGAGTTTTTATATATATCATGAGGAAACCATGGTTACGCAGCTCTTTTTTGGATATTTATGTTATCCTAACTTGAAAATGTTATAAAACGGGTTATTATTTTTTATGTGGCTTGCTGAAGCTATGTTATATGTTTGTCTGCAGATGCTCTTAACTCCCAAAGATCTTAGTTTTGTTGGCTATACGTACAAAAATTTTGCGGCTGTCAAAGGGTTACGTCATTCTCTGGGTATGAGAATACTACTCCAATACAAATTTCACTCTACTTATTTCTTTTTCTATTTGTTGATTTCTTGATTTAAACATGGTGTCATCTAAATATTCTTATACTGCAGTTCGGCTTCTTTTAGTATTGCATATTCTTGCAAGCGAAATTAAGTATTAATATTAACATGTAATAAATTTAACATTTCTTTTTTCTTAATATGATATTTGCATGCGCACCTCATGGGGATCAGAAGCTATATGATAATCTCTTTGCAGAGCCTTTTTTCCATATGTTTAATTTGATTCAGTGCTTGAGTTTTCTGATTCTAACGTTGTGTCATGGTTTTTTGGCACAGAGCACCTTGTGAAAATAACTATTTGTATTAATTAAATGTTAGAAAACAATTTTACATGTTACTTTTTGGAGCTTTTGCTCTTTGTGATGGACAGTAGTCCTGGGTGACCTTGACATTTACCTTTGAGACAGTTGACCGCAGGCCAAGAAATAGCTCAACTATTAAGTTTTCATCTCAAGCAAGTGATAGTTAGCAGTTATGGGCTCATATGCTTGAGTAATAACTGAAAAACCATTTTCGTGTGAATCACTGCCCATTAATGTCAGCACCATGCAGAATATTCTTTTCACTGAACAAAAAGGAATCTTTTGTTATTACTTCCTCAGATTCTATTCTCTTTAGAAGGCTTCAAACAATTGCAAAGTGCAAGTGCAATTGAAGAGAATCCATGATTTCAATCCATATTTATGTTGCTTATTTATGAATGAATCAATATTTTCTTCATTATACTTTTTCTTCTATGATGGCCTACTCAGATATTTTTCTTTTGAATTTATACAACCATTGCAGAAAAAAAGGGGAGCACATCGCCAAATCGACTTTCCACTGACTCTCTCAACAGTAATAGATACCTCTTTATAACATCATTTTCAAATGCATTGTGTTGTATCATATTCAGTCAAAATCAGCTAATTGATAGTTTTCTCTTCTAGGCGATTCTGCAGAGGACTACTCTTCTAAACTCTCAACTGACAACACAGAGACAGAGGTGCGTGCAGCATCAGGGGATACCATTTGACGTTGAAGTGGCTGAATCCTCCCATGTAAAGCTTCTCACTAAAGAGTGAAGAAGCCCTTTGGGTTTGACCTGCTTATTTTTCAGTCAGGTTTTGCCCTAGTCTAGTCTACCTTGTTAATGTAGTTTGCTGCCACTTATTTTATGGAACTACTAATTGTACAGTTATACTGAAGAATTCTGGTTCTGGGAAGCCCTTTGATGGGTTGTTTGGTAGCAACAGTATTGTAATTGAAAGTTTTCTTTGAGATAATATTGAGGTCCTGATTACCCAGGTTGGCACAAAAGTAATATGCCATCTCTTGTGGCTGCTTCGTTTTCCACTTGTGAAATGGTGTGTGGTCTATAACTGTTTTAAAAACACCAACTGGATTTCTATTGACAACTACGGGGCTTAGGTGAGAAGCATGAACTTGGGACTCTTGACCCTGATGTGAAAATATCATATTCAAAAATCTCTTGTAACATTTGTAGTTCTGCCATTTTAAATCAATTTTTTTAGTTCTTTTAATGTAGTTATAAATTACTACCCATCCCGAACGGCTTTCATTAATTCAGATATTTGACCATCTTTCTGATTTATCTTGACAGGACCCGAACCTGTTTTTTTTTTTTTTTTTTTTAATTTGTTGGTCACATTATTTAACTATGCATTTATGAAGTAGAGATTTTAATCTTTATGAACTCTGATCTGTTCTTTGCTATGACTATGAAGTGGAATTTGCCTCAACAGCTTTGCCTCAGCAAAGTTTAATTGTATATTTAGGAATTTTTTAGAATTTATTTTATAAAAAATAAAAAGTGTTTAATTTGTCTAAACATGATAAGTTAGATATATATATAAAAGAAAAACTTTTGAATTGACAGAATTTATTACAATTCATTAACCTAGTTCAATGCGTTGCGCCAGACCCACCCTAAGTTCTTTGAAACTGACAGTACTAAGTTCTTTGAGATTGACAGTACAGATGCGGAAAAAGCACTTGCATCGTTAACACTTTTTAGACACTGTCAAAATTGATGAATAAATATATTTTTAAAATATTAGGGGGCGTTTTAGTAAAATTCCGAAAGTTGATGTGCTTTTGTGAATATCATAAAACTTAGAGGTAATTAAAAAAGGTTACCTTCAGTTCGTTGAGATGAAGTATTGTCATCGTGGCAGGCTAGCTCGACACACCACAAATGTCTCTTTTTGGTACAGTAAAAATAAAACAATTTTTCTTTTTCTATTTTCTGCATTTGCAAAATTTATTTGTCAAAATCAAAAAACAATTTCAAGTTATTTTATCTTTTATAAGTTATTATAAGTTGTTATGCCTGGATAAGTAGGGCTGACATAGGGCCCAGTCAGCACAAGTGGTCAAGCTCTAGGTAGACCCTGCAGCCATTTAGGCCCGGCCACGTCGCGTGTTAGCGTGAGCAGCATGCTACTGCCAGTACAATGGGTATGCGCCAGACTGAAGAAAGGCTGGAGGTTGCCCACGTGTCCAATCCCTGCATAAAGCGAGGAAATCATGCGAGCAAGTGAATAACGGGACGCAAATGAGGATTTGCACGGTACCTGACCCCTTTTTACGGATTCAGTAATGATTACGTCAATGTATCCCACTATAAATAGAGAGCTTCTTTCCCGTTTGTGGGATTCGCTCATTTTTTACTCATGATTAGCTAATTTCGCTCTGTAACAGCTCTCTCCCTCTCTCATTTGTATTCTCAATATTTCATAGTCAGCTTGCTAAGCCGCGACCTGACTCTTCAAACATAAATACAATATCAGTGGACGTATGATTTGCTTGTTTAAGCATCCGAACAACTTTAAACATTGTCTTGCCATCATTTACATTCTCAATCCCCCATTCACGTGTGTCTTTTAGGTCAGCTCAACATTTCACACGTGCGTTTAGTTGGTGTCAAAATCACGCATCAACATAAGTAACTCTAACTTAACCTGTAAATTATTACTGTTATGCCTAAAAGATCACACTGATGTCAGCTCTACCTAAAAGACAAAATATACTAGTTACCAAGCCTATATCGCCTCAAAGATATTTATACCAACCATCTCTCATTTCAAGATATGGACGGATGAGAGCTCTTTATGTGTCAATGTAATTTGTAAAACACTTATTACATTGACCTCAAAGATATATAAATTGGCATCTCTCTTCATGAAAAAAAGAGGTTGGACAGATAAGAGCTGGGTATAGATTTGAGCTTCATTTCATTATTTTTCCTTTGTAAACAAAGTTTTTCTCTATTCTTTGTACGTGTTATGGGCAATATCATAGAAATAGTCAGAGAATAATAAAATCACAATGAACGTAGGATTCGCTTTTGAGCTTCCGAACCACAATAAAAACCCCTCTTACCAATCTTGTAATTACGTTTCAACATCATATTCAAATCTCTTGAATTTATCACGTGTAATTTTTAAGTGCGCTTAACAGTTTACACAGGTGAATCGTTGGTATCAAAATCAAGCATCAATAATTAATAATATTAATATTATATTTCAAAATTATTATTATTATTATTTTTTATTATTTACAATTATGTCAAAGGCATCATCATCAAAGATTTTTGTAAATCTGAAAAATACAAAATCTTTAAAATTATTTTATCATGACAGAAAATAAATTCATGATCAAACTACCTTCGTTATAGATGCATTCAATGAGGGAGAAGCCAGATGAAACTTTTCATAGTGAATTTCAATTATAGAAATCACCTTTCATATATATATACATACAAATTTTGCATATGTAGTGATTTACATCACCTTATATACATAGCATTATCTATACCATGTTCTGTAAGACGATTCAGTTTCCCTATATTTTTTACTACAACTATATTGGAATGCTTGTTGCTAAGATATTATAATCCAAAAGTTCAAACCCTTTGAACAACACAAAATCTAAGTTTGATATTTTCATTGAACTACTTCTACACTTACATTTGTTGGAATTAGCGAAGTTGTACAATTTTTAGATTTAATATTTCCAGTGCCAATTTTCATCTGAATACTTGGTTGAATATAAAATCCTGTAACACCTAAGTTAACCCAAATGAAACATAAGTAAAGCGTTTTTAACACACTTAAAAAATAAGAAACAAGTCAAGTAATCCAGCTGGTTTCTACAATTAATGAATCTCTGAAATCGTTCGATACTGCAGTCAATAAAGGGTATTAATAATTTTGAAAATGAACAAAATTAAATAGATATATAATAAAAGTATAAACTACATGGGGTCAGTGGGGTCAGCACCAACCCCCGCTAGGTGGACCGTCCATGGGTAATAAAACATTCCTAAACTCACCATAAATTTTGATTAATTTAGTATTTTTTTTTTTAAATTAACTTTATATTAGTTAGGGGTTTGTTTATAAATTTTATAAATTTGGGGTCATAATTAATTCTCCTAATTTAAAGGGGAGTACGATATTTTCCCACCCAAGGTTTGGTGAAACAACACTTTCCCACCCTTCAAGTTTCAAAATGACACTTTCCCATCTTTCGTTAGGTTCTGTTATGTTTTCTGTTAATATTTTACTGAAATGATGAAAATACCCTTAAATATTTGACTTCATAATTTTTTTTTTTAATTAGCCAAAAATTCAAATATTAAAAAGTCAATAATAATAATAATAATTAATCCCACCTAAAAAATTAGGAATAATACTATAGAATTGTTTAAAGTTAAAAGACCTTAATATTTATTTATTTATAAAATCATTAATATCTCATCATTATTATTTAATAATCTACTAAATTTATAATGTTTTTCATTTTTACTAATTAACATAGAAAATCAATATTCTTAATTAATTAAATAAACAAAGGAAAAAAGATATATTTATACTTGAACTAATAAATAATCGAGAGTAAAGACTTTGGTTTAACTAAATTTTAATTTATAATAAACTAATTAAGAAATAAACTCTTTGAGGGTATTTTTGTCTTTTTAGTCAAATATTAACTGAAAACATTAATAAGACCTGACAAAGGGTCATTTTGAAACTTAACGGGTGGATAAGTGTCGTTTTGCCAAACCTTAGGTGGGAACATGTCGTTCTCCCTAATTTAAAGAGTAAAAAGAGACAGTATTACGTTGATAGTGTTATTAAATTCAATAATAAGCATTAATTAAATTATCTGCAATCATAATCATATCATCATATTGATGTTAATTAGAGTATAATCTTTTTTTTTTTTTTTTTAAATGTTTTGTTCCATTATTATAGCATCTATCTTAAATAAATGCAGTCTTGTGCTTTTCTTGCATACTACTTTAGTGACATAAATCTATCATCTTTTATGGACGTTCCTGAGTAATAAAAAGTTATTAAAGGATGTTTAAATATAGAAATGCTTTTATAAAAATCTAAAAAATATTTTTAATTAATTTATGTTTTGATATCTCATTAGATACCGTATAATAATAAGAGACAATTAAAATAATAACTAACCAAACTTTCACATGCATAAATTGTCATTTCATTTAGTACAAATAAATAAATATTAAAACTTCTGACATTTTCCACGTCAGTTAATGTCGTCCAAATTTAGACTCACATTCACATATCTACAGGTCAACTAGGAGCTGTCTGACGCTTGGAGCCGGCTTAACACTTTTCTTCCCAAAATATCCCTACCCAAAATTCCAATTTTATTCGTAAATAAAACAAATGATGGATGAGGCAGTAATTGTACAACGGCTAGTTCCATTGCCGATCAAAACACAGGCTTCAATGGCTTTGTACGAACTTTGATTTCGATTTCGAGCTCCAAATCACACAATCTCTCGCAATTTTCCAATTAAAACCCACAATCTGTAGATTCTTTAATGCTTCGTAACACCTCTTATAGAAAGATTCATCATTGTCGTGATTCAAGGTAGATTCAAATGTCTTCATTTTTTACGTTTCTTCTACTTCTAGGGTTTACTATTTTAGCTCTTAAGTTGTTATTTAGGTTAATTGAAGGTAGATTTCGTTATTTTTTTAAGGTTTGTGTTGTATTGAAGTTCTAGGGTTTTTATGGTTATTAATCTTTGCAATTGTCTATTTAATGGTTTTGCGGAGGTTTTGTTCAATGAAGGGAGATTGAACAATGAAATAGAAGAATTAGAGGAGAAAAAGTGATTTTGAGCTTGCACTAAGCATGTTTACGTGGCTGAACATGTCATTTGATACATGTGGTTTTTGTTGGTTAGAATGTGTTGAGGAATGGTGAAATGTATGTAAAATTAATGGGAAAATTTTTTCACGAGTATTTTCTTGTATTTGTGTATCATTATTGGAGAATTCAATGGACTGAGAGTGAACTTGGAGGCAGTCGCAAGTCTGTTAAAAATAATGGAATATCTTTGTAAAAAGAGGGAAAATCTAAAGCCTGATTTCTAGTCATACCTTACTGA